ATTGGAGCCACAGGTGTCGTAACACATGTCCAGCTGATTGCAGCACTTGGTCATGGCGGGGATGCCCATGTCCATCTGGAACACAACAAACATGAGTAAGGTTTATATCCAAGTGTGAGGGGGGTTCGCAGATGGTTAGATTTGCTGTATACTCAAAATTCATTCAGTTATTTAGTCACATGTAGACTTCTCTGACCATTTAGGGAATACATAAAGTCCCAGTAAACATTTGTTATGTTTCCCATTATTCTGGTAATAGTTAAATCTTTGTTAAAAGTTTGAACGTGGGGCTAAGTTGAGATATTATGGTCACGGGGAGGATCCAAAGCAAAATAAATTCATGCGAGGTCAAACATAAGATTCGTCCCTCTTCCAAACTCCAATAATTTTTGTACATTCCCTCAGAAATGTAGATTCATCTTTTTAGATCCATATCAATTAAACTCCCAAGTTTGATAAATCTACATTCATTTGCTCTGAACAGATGGAAGACACGTACCCCCTCTGGAACAGGAATACCAAAGAAGTAGGAGCTACATCCATCAGGTTCTGGCATCTGGTATCCAGGCCGAGGAAGAGGAGCTTTACCTGAGGGGTGAAGCAGAGCAAAATATCAGATGTAGGTCATGTTTCACAGCAGGTCGGTGGCAATGTGCTGCACTGGCTGGGTCGATAACCATGTGGGTTTAAAAGTAGATCTGTGTTAGCACATAGAAACAAAGGTCAGTTATTTGGTTCATCTTGTCAATAGGCACATCCCGTAGTCACCGCAAGAAACCTCTGCTATCATCTGGTCACAGTCCATGTACAGGCCCTCTTGCAGATGATAACAAAGATGATAAGTACAAGATGCAGTGTTGTAGTTACCTGTAGTGCTGTTTATCAGTCTAGATTGTTTTGGTTTGAGTTGCAGAGTGTTGGAGATATCGGCTGTAGAGATGTATGCCTTATCTCCAATGTAATAGAACTCGATGGCACTTGACTTGTGGTGCTCAAAGTGCCAGAAAACACATTTGAAAAACTCAACAGCAATGTCTCTTTAGATCAAGATAATCCACAGACTTTGTTGTGAGCAGTTTCATGTAGGAACTATTTTCTTTCCATTTAAACACACCCACCAACCATATCACCACGCAGAAGGAAGTGTGCATTAATTCATGGATAAGAGGCTCATGCTCTTGCCTGCACAAAATATTAACAATTATGGCGTCTTCCTGAGCTGTACTGTTAGCAAGCTCAGTGGTGCTAGGTGAGCTAGCAGTAGATGCACGCTTCCTTCTGCATTGTTATACATTTGACAGGTGTAGTCTGGTAGACAGAAAATAGTTCCTACATGAAACTGCTCACAACAAGGTCTGTGGATTATCTTGAGAAAGCAGGTCATGAGATCTGGAAAGAGACATTGCTGTTGAGTTTTTCAAATTTATTTTTTTGCCGTATTGAGCACCACAAGCTGAGTGCCATCTAGTTCCATTACACTGAAGAGAAGGCAGACATCTCTATGGCGGAAAATATAGAAAAATATGTGTTCCAGATGCTGTGGTGAACTGTTCAGAGCGTAATTAGAGTTTGGTTTACAATGTTGCATCGTTGTTTCATACAGGCAGCATCCAGACTAACCACTTCAACAGTTTGTGATGTAATATAAACATTATCCACGAAGTATATACTGCCATTTACCACACAATCTAATTTACTGAAGAGCAGCAGAGAAGCATTTGTTCTGCCTGTTCCCGGAAAATAATTGAATTAAAATTTTTCTTGTATATTTAATAGTAATTATGCAGCTATAGAAACATTGTTTGGATAAATCAAAGTAGAATTGTGAATATTTAAATCTAATTGAATTGGAATTTGTTTCATTGCTGCATTTTAATTACTGGAAAAAAGACAGCATCAACAAAAATGACAATTCTAATGCAAGATTTTACTTTCTCCAATTATAATACAAAACAAATGTTAACAGATGAGGGTCTAGTATATGCATATGAACATTCTTACAGTGCCAGACCTGGAAATTAAAAGGCAGAGGAGGCAGATTATATTTAATATCTAATATCTATAAATTTGGCCATTTTCATCTAAAAAAATAATTAAGTATTTTGTGTTTTCCTCATGAGCTTCATCATTATCAGCAGTGGTGTAGTGGAGGGTACACGCAGGTATATGGGGTATACCCACCTCTTTTTCTGGACTATAGAGGAGAGTATACCCACTTTGTCCTCGGTAACCTAGTAGTACACCCATCCCGTCAATTTCAACTCCACCACGGGTTATTGGAGTGGAAACATCATCACCTGGAGCACTGGAGACCCAAACCTGGACTAACTCAAACCAATTCCACTGCTTGTTATTATCAGTGTTAAGCAGAAGCTGTAATGCATTTCCTCCTTTTAATTAAGATCGACTTCTATAATGTCTTAAAAGACAAACAATCAGTGGTGGACCACACTGGCTGATAAGTATCAGTATCTTTCTCACCCTGAACCACACTGTGTAATGCCACCTCATCCATTTAACCCACTTACCATATCGACAGCGGTATTGGCACACTCCATCACGTCCTCCCATGAACTCCAGCATCGAGTCAAAGTAGCTGCTCACTGACTCAAAGCCGCCTCTGAGGGAGTTCATTCCCCAGTCCCCACTGTCATCCTCCGTGCCATCAGAGGCCTGGTCCGGTGCCAGTGGTGTTACAGTCGCAGCTGGGTCCTCAGCCTCCTGACTGACAGCACTGTGGATGAACAGGCCCAGCAGGAGCAGCAGGGGAGCGATAAAGGCCCAACGGGTCATTTTGTAGCTCAAACAGCTCAGTGTGAACAGTTAGATCCCAGAGACTGAGAGGAAACACGGGCACACTCACAGAGGCAACACTGAACTGTCTGCATGACCTGAACTTTGATCCAGACACAGGGACAGCCTCATATGTGGAAGAACAAAGTCCAGCTTCTATCTCAGCTTTTGGACTTGTCTGAGTTTATCACCCTCCCTGATTGATGTGAGGCAGAGTGGGCTTGTTCACCATTCAGCCCGGGGGATTTAATTACATTTAAATCCCATTCAGTGGATTTAATGTAAAATCAGAGAGCGTCACCAATGTGCTGGTTTCTATGGGCAGTGAATTCATGTGCAAATTGTCTGTGAAATATAAGCAGATTAATGGAAATACCTCCTGATACCTCTCACATCTGGTAGAACTTGCTACTGAAACCTCAGTCACCAGAAGTTGTTTTTTTTTATGAAGACTTCACTATTTTTACAAGGGATAGTGCCATGAAAAGGGGTGGTTTTTTTACCCAGACGTCACTACTTTTCCTGCTGAAGTAGTGCCACGATAAGCAATTGTTTTTTACAGATGCATCCATGACTTCTCCACCCACGACTGTGCCACCCATCCATAGTTTTTAAGCCCATATACAATCTTTTCCTAACCCTAACAAAGTGGTTTTTGTGCATAAACCTAACCACAGTGTTGTTGAAATGTAAAGAAACATAAAGTTTAAATGTATGTTACATAATAATGTTCAAATGTAATGTATCTGTGATTCACAGAAACATACCAGGCTAACATTTTTTCAGGTGATTGGGCTGCCAAACTAAGTCATACAAGCATTTTTGGGTAGTAGTTACATACTATTAAGGTATTTGGTCAATTTAATAAAACATATTTGGTATGAGGGTGTGTAGGTGTCCAAAAGCATGTTTTTAAGTTTTGTTTTTTTGTCTTTTCTTTTCTTATCATAAAATAATGACCAAATGTGGATTGTCTGAGACTAGCTAGTCTGCATTTCTGTCAGTATTTAAGTGTAGACTTTTCATTAATTGATTTTTTGAAGTTCATTAAGGTCAGAGGGGGTGGAGCCTGACTCAGGTGTTCATAGAGCTTACCTGCCCTCATTGTAGCCTACCTACAGGCTGACCAGGCTGTGCACTTGTCAAGCCATGGGTAAAACCTTTTCTGTGACTACACATCAGTGTATTTGCTTAACCATCTGAATGCAAGACTTTGTTATGGGTTTTGTGGTACAAACCAGTCTATTAGTCTATCATTGTAAGTCTGTATCCACATAAATCTGAACGTGTTTCATCACAATGATGAATGAAGATAATTGTAATGTGCCAGCTCACAGACACTTGGCACTTCTGTTTGCTAAATATTGGAATTTTAGCAAGGCAAGGAAAGTTTATTTATATGGCACACTTTATCCACAGAGGTAATTCAAAGTGCTTTACATATAAACAGATAAAAGAACAGAGTATAGACAATGAAAAGATTTAGAAGTACAAAATTCATAACAAGGGAGACATGACAGCAAACTGACACTCATCACATGTATGACTACAAAGAGCATGACTGTCACGAAGAACATGTACAATTCAAGTGGCCTAAACAAATAATAATCACTTAACTAAAACAGGTGGAGAGTCAAAGACAGAGGAGAGAGTTCAATAAAGGCTGCAAAATCAAAAGACACATAAAATAACATTTAACATATTTATAGTAACTGAGATATGAGGCGATGTACTTTGTTGGCATTTTTGTTTAATTAATACACTTTGAAAGGACTTTAATATAATTTTAAAGTGTGTAAAATTTGGGTACGTCTCTTGCTATTTAATAAATGCATATGATACGATTTTTACCAACAAAGGATCTGCTAAACACAATGATGCACTGGGTCAAATTATTGAAAAAAAAAGAGGGTAAGTGTGCAATGATGGGTGAAAGAGACCGTAGGAGAACTGGATTGGGAAGGGATAAAAGGATACTAGAAACAAGTGGAGATAAGGTATGGGAAACTCAGAGGGGGGGGGTGGACTTCTTAGGAACCACAGAAATTGTTTATTAATCGTTTATTAATTTAGATTTTGTATTTTATTTTTTAGATTAATGTAAACTAGAGCTTGTTGTACACACTCCGCTCCGGTAGGTGGCGACATATTCCTGGAAGTTAGTACTGCAACCCCTCCAGGAAGAAGAAGGAGAAGAGGAGGGACAGGAAGAAGAAGTGAACGTTGGAGTGACCAATGTGAATTACAATTTACTGTAGTGTAACTCAAGCTTTAATGCATTTCTGCACGCAAAGTCTGAACAGTAACGCAGGCTAAAGAAGCTTTGTTTTGTTTCTAGTTTTATCTCGTCTTTTTTTTTTTACTGGCGCGAGGCAGCGTTTTCTAATCACGAGGACCCTCTCGTGTGCAGGTGGCTGTGTAAAAGTTTGTTTATGGTCTCATCCTCACCTATGAGTGCCTTGCTAATCTTTCCACAAGAAGACCCAAGTCACTAATTAAAACAAAATGGCTTTCGCAAACTTGTTCACGAGACTTTCTGCTATTGAAGAAAGTGTCACGAGCCCTGGTCCACCAGCCTTCACACACAGGTATGTAACGGTTGTTAGCCGTTAGCCATTAGCTTTGAGTTAGCTTTAATGTGTTTGATGGAGCAGCTCGTTTAAATGGCCTTAATGTACATAAACATTTAAAACTCATTTTGTTTTTACAGGAACGAGACTGAGAGTGGTAAAAGAGGTAATACCAGGAAGAGGAAAAAACAGACTGTACCGATTGGCCCTCATAACAAGGTCGGATGAACTTGAACTCAAACTTAAGTTAGCACCACATCTGTGTCCTTGTTCCAACACAGTGCATTTTGTGTTTTGTCATTGATATTGTGGACTAAGTATTAGTAAACCCCCCTTAGTATTACACAATGCAGGTCAATTCAACAGCCCCTCAATGTTACATTAGACAGCATTCATTTTATCTTGGTCTACCTGCAACTGAGTGTAATTCAAAATTAAATTATAAAGGGTTTGTGCTGCGTGTCTTACCATACTTGAAAGGATTATGATGAATCTAACAATTCTTACAGACATGTCTTTGACATTTTGTTTCTGTGCATTTTCTGTTAACAGAAGCAACATTTCCAAGCCCAGACAACCAGGAGTTTTAACGCTACACCCTTCAAAGACGATGACTCCAGGACCAGACATCACCACATGCCTAACACTTATAGTGAACATGCACGTGATGGCATCACCAAAGAAGTGATACATAACCACGGTGGTAAAGCTGGCCAAAAAGGTCAGCAATACAAAAATAAAAATAACTTGAATGTGAACAAGCAACAGCAGAAAAAGAAGCAGGAGGGGCAGAAGAATCCGCATCAACATAAGGATAGATGGAGAAATACCAATAGAGGTGGAGGCCATCAGACTAGACCTGCTTGGAGAAAAGGTGGAGGAGATGGCAGAAATAGAAATGACAAGCAGGTAAGTGAGACACCTAGCTGTGTCGTCAGAACAGATTTTATCTATCATTAAGTTATCTGTTGCAGTTTGAATGAAAGGACACCTGCATTATGGCCTCCTGCTGTTGTGGCAGAAGAGGCATTCACATAAGTCATTTTGCATATCTAATGATAACAGGGCCACAAATGGGAGTAACAGTCTCCAGTTCAAATCTGGCCCATGACATTTGTTGCATGACTTGCCCCCAGTGTGGGACAGTAGACAGGAGTGGTGCCACAGAGGCTGAGCAATGTCCTGCTTCGGAGGGGTCAGCAGCAGTACGCTGTATTTGTAATAGGTGGCACAGTCATGCAGCGTTTAGCATTGTCACCTCACAGCAAGAGGGTTCCTGGTTCGAACGTGGGGTGGGGGGATCCCTTCTGTGGAGTTTGCATGTTCTCCCCGTGTCAGCGTGGGTTCCCTCCCACAATCCAAAGACATGCAGGTTAATTGGTGACACGAAATCGCCTGTAGGTGTGAATGTGAGTGTGAATGGTTGTCTGTCTCTATGTGTCAGCCCTGTGATGGTCTGGTGACCTGTCCAGGGTGTACCCCACCTCTCGCCCAATGTTAGCTGGGATAGGCTCCAGCCCCCCTGCAACCCCTATAAGCGGCTATGGAAAATGAATGAATCAATATATTTGTAATATTTTTATTGTTTTATGTTGCTGTCAGACAGTGATTTCCATCAGGGAAATAAAGCTGTTATATCTCTTTTTAAAGCCAGACTCCATTGAGAAAAACAGTGACTTAACATTGCTGAACACAGAGCTACTGGTTTACCGCTGCCTTGATCAGTTAGTTGGTATTATCATGTGACTCTGGTGTTTAAAACGGTTAGTTCAGATTCACCAAAGTCACATGATAATACCAACTAACTAACTGAGGCAGCAGTAGACCAGCAGCTAACAGCCTAGTTGGGGAAGCCATTAACGGTTTCCTTATTGCAACAGGCTGTCTGACTTAAAGGTAAAGCAGTGAAAATACTCTGAAAACAGCATACACTTAAACTGTTATACATTTTTTTTTTAGGTTGGACTTCTTTAGGTGGCTAATATACACCTTGCTGCTGCTCTTGTTCACAGCAGTACATTGTTTAGCTTCCGTGTCAGCAATCCTGGCGCTTGTCCAAACTGCGAACACACCGACAGACATCTACTATATGTGATACAGTGACTATGGATAAGTACCTCATATGACCCTATCTCATTATTATGAGTCCATGATAATGAAACACAAAACACAACAGCATAAGAGGCCAAATATTATCTTGAAAATACCCCCTTTACTATTTGAAATTAACAGAGCCTTCCAAACTACTAGCATCAGAAACAGTAACAGTATTGTTATTATTGTACTTCATTGAAAGCTACAGGCATGTCTTAATAATAACTAGAGGTTTAAAATTATAGCCCAATCGGCTTTCCATGAGTGTTGCTGTTGGTAGAAAATAATCACAACAACAAAGGATGTTTGTACTGAGGGCAGTCCCCCACAGCAACATCAAATATGAGACCCACACACATGTTCATGTATTAATTAAAATGTGAGCTAATCTTATTTTCATGCTCTTCTTTCCTCTCAGGATGTCCAAGTGAAACATACAAGGACAATGACGCAGGAGTTCAAGGACCAGAACGCTGTGTTGGTGAATGGGCGGCTGGTTTGTCGGCATTTCCTTTATGGAAGGTGCATTAAGGCAGGTTATGTTTGTTATGTATACTAATGTATCCCAAAATTGACTTATAGAATACAAAAACCTCATTATTCTGTCCCTTATTGATTGTCATTATAACTCACACTGTAGTGCCCTGGCATTGCTGACTTCCCTTTACTGCACGCAGGATGCTGAGTGCCAACTGGAACACATTCAGTGTTACAACGACCTCATCAAAGAAGCTTGCAAATTCTACATCCAAGGATTCTGCACAAAGGGGGAGAGCTGCCCGTACATGCATAATATCCTTTGGTTGAACAGTAAATAATTTGTGTATCTTTATGTCATAAACTCATTGCAGTGATTAGTAAATTGCTATTGTCTTGAGGCTGTTGAACAAACTTCCTTTACTCAGCTGCACAGTCCTTTCCCTGCAAGTTCTTCCACAGAAAAGGAAATTGTTTTCAAGGAGCAGATTGCAAGTTTTCCCATGATCCACTGAATGACGTCACCACCCAACTGTTGAATGAGGTGCGTATGTGAAAGTCCACTCAAAAATTCTTGAAATGTTTTATGTGCATTTCTGTGTGCTAAAGATGACTGCATGTCTTTGCTTTTTCTCATGACAGACATTAAAACGGGACAATGACCTCTATGAACTTTCAAAGAAAGCTGAGCAGGAGTCGTCAGGACCGCCACAGGCCACAGATCCAGAAACTATAGAAACAAGTAACACCGCTGATACACTCCTGCAACCACTCAGGTATGCACATACAAACTTAATAGGGATGCACCAGTTGTGAAATTCAGGGTAGAAACTGATGTTTTTTTGTCATTCTTGTTGTTATTTATTCCCCTTTTTATGCCAGGGAAACAAAGAAAACGTCACTATTAAAAGGTGTTTTACTGTCAATCAGTCCTTCATTACACTTCCTTTGAATGGGACAAATTCAACCACACATGTTTATGAAACAACCTTTAATATAACGGTTTCAAAAGCCAGTTTATTATATTTAGTACATCCTTATTACCTCTCTAATATCTATTTTATGTTATCATTATAACATTAATAACCTTGTTGTTTAGATAACTGTATGTATTCTAGTTTCACACCCAAAACTGAATTTTACAAGACTACATTTGAACACATCATGATAACATTAGAAGCTACCTTTGCCAAATATTCATTTTTACTGAATAGGGCTGGAATGCATCATAATGTGACTTAATACAGCTGTTAGCTGTTAGTTCCAGCCACTGGCTGCTAACAGCTAATGTTAACTAGCTCTCCTCCTGCCAATGTCAACACGGATTTGTTGTTCACAATGTTGCATTGCGAGAAAAAAAATGCACCCTGATGTGTCAATAGTGAGTTTATTACATCCTTTTGTCCTGAAGTTGTTCAGGAGAAGATCTCTATTCATCCCAAACATGTTTTCTGTTGTCCCCAAGACGCAAGTTTGCAAATCCTAGGATGGTGAAGGAATGATCCACCTTACTCTCCCAATGATCGGCTAGTATTCATTGTCTTTGTTGGTAGAATGGTTAGGTTTAAGCAAGAGAAATGGGATTAGTTACGGTTAGGGTAAGGATGTCAGGGTATGCCAGTCAAAGGCAGAGTAAGATGGGCCATTCCTTCACCATCCTAGGCTTCACAGATTTGCCCTCATGATGCTATTAGTCATTGAGCGCTGCTTTTAAGCCTGTGCAAAATTGATGGGACACAACAGAAAAATATCAGCAACAGCTATTGGTCTTATTGTCCAATAAGCTGATGGCAGTCAAGTAGGCAAATATCAGCTGATGCAGATGCTCAGCTGATAAATTGGTGCACATCTAAAACTTGAACTTACCTTTGTGGTTCTGTAAATATATGTAAGTGTAATTCTTGCATAGGAAGTTGTCTAATTAATCATTAATCCTAGTCATGATATGAACAATTAACATTCAGCCACTATTTTTCAGGCCCAACTTTTACAACAGCGCAGAAACAAAAGCTGAGAAGGAAACCTTGGTATGTGAGACTGAAGAACCGGCTGATATCCTGGAGGAGGCTGTCTCACCACATGCATCAGATACAGCAGAACCCCACATCCCCCTGTCCAGTAAACATGATGATGAGGAGCCAGTTTGTTATTCAGTTGCAGCAGTGCTTGGACCTCAACTTTCCAAACCTTTCCCTAGTTTGTTTGGAAGTCTAGAAGCTCAAGAATCTGGCCCCCTGTCTTCTTCTGAAGTCACGTCAGGCTCTGCAGCCCAAAGCGAAGTTCCCTACTCTGTGGATGCTGTTCTCAGGTCTTATAAATCAGTGGAAAATTCTACATTTGGCCACAGACCTACCCCTCCTACTGCACTAACTGTATCCTATACCCCAAAAACTGACTTTAAAGAGATCACTGACTTGCATTCTGTAAATACAAGACATGAAGTGAACAAATCCCAGGAAAAAACATCCAAGAGCCTGCCATCCCTCCAAGTGCACACGGGCCCAAGACCTACTCAGCCCTTTAAGGATTACAAGAAACCTGGTGGCAATACGGCAGAATCCCTGAAGCCTGCTCAAAGAAGTGCTGATGAAGTCAAGTCGGAGTCCGCATCCTCTGAAAGCAAAGGAGATATGAAAGGAAGCATGAACCTACCTGTGGATATTACTGTAAACTGTAAAGGTGAAGGTGTTCCTCCTTTGGGACGCACTAATCAGACATCTACTTCCAAACATCCTGCACAGTTGAGGCCACATCTCTCTGTTCTGACACTGGGCCCACAAGCCTCAATAAAGCCATTTAATCCATTTTCAAGTTTGCCAGAGTTCAAAGGTGGAGCTGTTGTTCCTGTTGAAACCGTCACCAGCTCCTTTGAGACATGTGATTCTGCAAACTCTGCCAGTCACCATTTTGCAGCTAAAAATCCCACCAAGGTCCATCTGGACTCCAAAAAGACACAGTCTGGCCTCAAACATGGTGCACAACATCATTCAACTGAAATCGCAGCACAAAGCAGCAGCAAAATGACACATTGTGGTGATTTCGCAGTCCGCCGTAAAACTCCCCTGAAAACACCCTTTCGTAGCCTTTTTGCAAGCCCCATTACTGACACTCTGCAGCCTAAACACGATGCTATATCAAGTCCCTCTTGTCTTAAATCCTTCTGTCCTGCTCCACGGTCTGCAGATGTCAGAAGTAATCGTGTCAAAAATGTGGTTGAACCTGACAGAGCCTCCACCAGCTCCTTCCTCAGCCTTTTTGCGGCCCCTCTCAGTGCTCCTCCTCTCTCAAGCAAGCAGACGCAACCAGATGATTCAAGGACTTCCTCCTGTTCTCAGAAGTCAAACCAGTCAGTTGATAACACATCTCATTTATCAAACTCCAAACGAAGGGCTTCTAATTTAAAGACACCTCTCCTACGTCAGGGTAGAACTGATGTCAAAGGAATCTCTCATTCGCCAAGATCCCATGATGTCTACTCCAATCCTAAAACGGAGAATGAAGACAGTTCAGCTAAACATATGAATAAACCTACAAAGCAGCTGGTGAATCCTGTCTCCAGCTGTGCGTCTGATTCTCTCAGTGAGACGTCAACCAGTCCAACTCCTTGTGATGACGGTCCACCTGCAGCCCACGCTAATCAGCAGCAGCCCGACGTCTCATCCCACAAAGGTAAGGACATACAACACACTGTTTACAAATACTAATGTTAAATGCTGATTTGCTGCTGAAATATATTTTATGCCTTATTAGGATCTGAAAAGGCAGCCGCTGCAAATTCAGTCCTCAAGAGTCTCTTTCTGTCCCTGAGCCCGTACCAACAGGACTGAGAGCATCAGGACAGTATTCACATCAGTGACCCTTCAGGTACGCTGCTTATCCATCCCTGTAAAGAGACTAATAATATTATCCACAAATAAAATGTTGTCATCCTTGTAGCACTGAATAGTAATCTCTTTTGACTGCATTGCAGAAAGTGAGAAGAAGGACAAAAGCAGCACAGGGTGTGTCTTTGTGAAGCAGCAGCAGAAGAGTAATTATAAGAAAAGTATAAAAGAAGAAGCTCAAGGTAGGCAACTTTGTGTACCCATGAGACATGCATGATTCCCTTGGTTTTGCTTGCTTTATTTACTTTCATTAAGGTATACAGGATTTTCCTGGAATGCCATGTATAGACTAATCAAAAGTAATGCCTCTTAATCATCACTTATGGATTCTGTGGGGTTGATTTTTGGAATTTCTATTGCCCAGATGGCCCTAGCTCTTTGTCTCTTCAGTCTGAGTTGAGTTGTATTCTATCTTTTCTCTGGATGGTGTCTGACTTTGTGCCTCTTTCTCCTGCTCTCCTGATTATTGCTTTAAATTGCTCCTCAGACTCAACATTTCCAGCCCAACAGTCCAGTGAGAAAACAGTTGCACACTCAGCAGAGCACCAGCCCTCTCTTCAGACTCTGTATATCTACACAAAGACTCCACAAAGGAAACAGGCGGCTCCACCCTCAACAGTCCAGGAAAGACTGAACCTCAAGTGAGAAACTCCGGCACACACAACTTGCTGTGCAAACCAGTGGATTCTGCTGATACAGAATCAAAGTAGATCAATGGGAATGTGGTGGCCACACCACTCAAGGACCTTTTTAACACTTCAGACACCACCGTTTCCCACTTCAGACATTAAATTGTATTACTTTTAGATTAAATCACACTAATAATCTTGATTAATTTTTGCCTTGGGGCCAGTTAAGATATGAAGGTGTCCCTATTTAAATCTATTTAAAAATCTATTTAAAATCGACATGCTTCTTTGTCTTGTTTTTTGTGCAGTTTTTATGACTTCATCTCTGTGCACTGTCAAAAATCATTTAACATTAAAATATTTTAAATTTATATAAAAACAAAGTATTTGTTCTTTGGTATTAAAAAGAAAATAATATCCTAGAAAATAAGAGTAAAATATTCTATATTGGTGCTGCATAAATTTCATGCACAATTTTGCCTTTTGAATTTTCCTCTGAATTTTGCAGCTCTTGATGGCACTTTTTTCTACGTACATTTGTTTTCATTGTGTATAAAAATTATAGTTTAATTTAAATTGAGGATTTTTTTAGACATTGCATCAAAATCAATCCAGCTGTGACTCTGTAAAGTAGCCACCACTTTCACTTTTGAAAACATCAAAAAGAAAGTCAAAAGTGTTTCCAAAGAGTTCAGACTTTATTTGTTGGTTTCAGCTGTCTCACCACCATCCAAAAGACATTTCAAATGTTTCCAGTTGTGAATTGAGCTGGCAATCTTTATTAAAACAACCACATACAGACAGAGCACTATCCAAAAGCACACATGCAGTGGGTTGGACAAAATAACAGAAACTCAGCAAGTTTGTGTGTGTGAAGCATCCATGTTTTACAATTTCTTTGCAGCAACATCCATATTTGAAGCACTGTCAAGTGTCATGGCAACTTATGAGTTTAGACACACATGGACGTAAACTGCAACTTGACTGGTTGGCGGTGGCATACAACCATCTCGTTCTAATGCTGTGAGTAACTCAGACTTCTGAATAGTGATATACTGGAATGGCAGCTGTTGTCAGCAGATAGCTCAAAATGTAGGCAGATAAATCTCTTATGCCTACAGTTGTAGTGTGTTTTTGTGATCTGGATAAACCTGCCACATCCATTCTTGATACGGCCACCAGATGGAGCCAAAGACATTTTCCAATAACACAGGCTTTAATTTGTTGTAGGTATTTTTCATTCTTTGGTACATTATGCAGTTTTTGATACAGGAGACCAAAATAATTGAGAATTAAATGATATGTAGTACAACCCTGATTCAAAAAAGTTGTAACGCTGTGGAAAACATAAGTAAAAACAGAATGCAGTGTTTTGCAAATCCTTTTTAACTTATATTCTATTAAATACAGTGCTACGACAAGATATTTAATGTTCAAACTCATTAACTTTATTGTTTTTTGCCTGAGCAATGCCGCCATCCAGACGACCTGTCTCCTATTGAGCGACTGAAATCATATATCAAGTAAGAATGGGAAAGAATTTTACTTTAAAACTTAAATAATTAGTGTCCTTTAGTTCCCAAACCCTTACTGAGTGTTGTTAAAAGGTGGTGTAAAAAAGTGGTAAACAGTGGTAAATGTGCCCCTGTCCCAACGATCTTGGAACATAATGAAGGAATCAAACTCAGAATTTACAGAAAATAATGAAGTTTAGCAGTTTTAAATTAAATATCTTGTCTCTGTATGGTATTCAGTTCAATATATGTCAAAGCATTTGCAAGTAATTTCTTTGTCTTTAGTTTGCACAGTGTCCCCACTTTTTGAATCAGGGTTGTAAAACTACTTCAGAAATTTCTATTACTGCAACTTGATTAACATGTGTCCAACATATTCTTTGTGTTTATATCTAATATATACTTTGAATTAACACAAAGGAAAAGTCATATTCCTCCAGATGAAATCATGTCACAGTGGACAGGTGATGCTCAGAGAAATGTTTTAATAAGTCTGTAAGATCATGATGGTTTGTGTTCTACAGTGATGGGCACAAGTTGTGACTTGATGAAAATTTTGCCAGCAAATGTGAACATGAGCTGTGTGGTTTGCATTAGCAAGCTAGCTGGCTGGCAAACTTTAGCACAGTTGATGGTGGAAAACTAGCTTATAAAATGAATGAACTCCCTTTGTAACAGTGTCATTTACCATGTCTTTGATTATTTTTTTTATTCTATTTTTGCCTACACTTTGTTTCATGTCATTATTTTTTCAGCTCCTTTAACCTCAGAGTAAAAGATGAAAATCAAATGTGATGAATTACTTTTTTAAATTGAATTTACAGAACAGTTACTGTAGTGTGATATATACGGTTACTGAGATATAAAATTACATATACTGAGATAGATTTTGGCCATTTCCGCCACTCCTACACACTATAGATTATTTTGTTTGTTGTCGTCTGTTGGTTGTGTTGGTGAGCAGCTCAGTTCTGGTTCATCTTTACACACAGTCAACCCGTCCTCATCTACTGCGACACAGCGGTGTTTCTTCAAGGACTGTGATCGAGTAAACAGTCTCTTACAATGTGAACACCAGTACGGTTTCTCTCCAGTGTGGACACGCAGGTGTCGGGTGTAACTGTATGAACTATTGAAACACTTCCCGCACTGATCACAGCTGTACGGTTGCTCTCCAGTGTGGATGCGAACATGACGCATGTAGTTGCTCAGTCGACCGAAACCTTTCCCACATTCTTTACACTGGTACGGTTTCTCTCCAGTGTGCGTGCGCACGTGTTGTTTGTATGTTTTTGAGATAGAGAAGCTTTTCTCACACAGTTCACAGTGGAATGGTTTTTCTCCAGTGTGGATACGCAAATGTGATTTGTAATTACCCAACTGAGAGAAGCTCCTCCCACACTGGCTGCAGCAATATGGTTTCTCTCCTGAGTGGACACGCAGGTGTATCTTGTAACTACTTAAGTCACTGAAACTTTTGTCACACTGGTCACACTCATACGGTTTCTCTCCAGTATGGTTACGCAGATGCAGACTAAAATGCCCCGACTGGGTGAAGCTCTTTCCACAGAAGTCACACTGGTACGGCTTCTCTCCGCTGTGGCTGAGCTGGTGTCGCTTGTATGAACTTAAAAAACTAAAACTCTTTGGGCACTGGTCACAGCAGTATGGCTTTTCTTTAGTGTGGACACGCATATGTATCTTGTAAATACTGAAGTAACTGAAAGTCTTTTCACACTGGTCACACTGGTATGGTCCAGTGTGGTCACGCAGGTGTTTTTTGTATGAACTCTGGTCGCCGAAATTCCTCCCACACTGTTCGCAGCAGTATGGTGTTTCCTCAGTGTGGGTCTGCAGGTGTGTCTTGTATGTCTTTAGCTCACTGAAGCTGCTGTCACATTGTTCACAGTGGTACAGTTTCTCTGCAGTGTGACTGAGTTCATGTCTTTTGAGACTGCAAATCCGACTGAAAGATTTCCCACACGTCTGACACTGATGAGGTCTGCTCCCGTCTGCGTCTGTCCCTTTCTCTTTCAACTGTGAAGAACAGAGAAACAAAGGTCAGAGTGAAGTACTGGTAGCCATTAGCTAGCTTTATTGTGTGGCACTTCCAGTCCAGATGCCAAAATAAAATATTGGCACTTTACTTTTCTGCAAACCAAGAATGTTACATTTATGCATTTCGTGGTGTCTGTGATTATGACAAAATACTGGATATTAATTTCCATTTTAACTCACCTCTTCGGAAGAACTCATCTCACCGGCTTATTGGTGAAAGTTAGTGTCCTCAAATTTTCTTCTGAAATAGTAAAATAAAGAGACTGGTCAGAGCAGGAACACACACTGAAACAGAAATAATAATTCAGCTGGAAGTGACTATAGGTTCAGTAATGAGTCATTGCTGCTGACCTCCATGTTTGTATACACTTGGTTTCCAGTTCATTAGGTACACCTGGGTAAAACTAAGTCTGATAAAACAGTGAAAAAAGAAGTAGGATTTAAAATGTTGACTTTTAGTTATAACTGTCAGAGAGGTTTTTATTCAACTTAATAGTAATTTTGGAGGCTGCAGTTTGGCGCTATTGGAAATACATTGAGGTTCTCTCAAGGCAATTGAATCGAACGCAACTGGACTTGGTTTTGTCTTAGAAGACGTTTCACCTCTTATCCAAGAGGCTTCATCAGTTCATGCTTGTCTGACTAGGCTGGAACTAGTCTGACAAACTGGTGTGGAAGCACCCACCACACAAATGCATGGCCCAACACAGAAGGGCTAACTCGTCAGGGCATGACTCAGCTGTCTGTCTACACCTCAAGGAGAAAGTACACTCCTTCGAAGACAGCAATGTGCACATTTTGGACAGGGAAGACAGATGGTTTGAAAGAGGTGTAAAAGAAGCCATCTATGTGAAATTGGAAAAGCCATCTCTCAATAGAGGAGGAGGTCTGCGACACCACCTATCCCCCACCTATAATGCTGTCCTTTCATCCTTGCCCAGGAGGTTTAACAACTTAACCTCTAAAAACAATGGTCGTTCACAAATGGCCTCATGTGACTCTAACGACACCAATTGCAGCGTTGCAGCAGGAGTTTCAACGACTGTTGTTGACACACCATTGGAGCACTAACGAACCAGTGACATCATTGGCCTTGTGAAGACCTCCCCAGAGGTTAAATACCTGGGTGCTTCCACACCAGTTTGTCAGACTAGTTCCAGCCTAGTCAGACAAGCATGAACTGATGAAGCCTCTTGGATAAGAGGTGAAATGCCTTCTAAGACAAAACCAAGTCCAGTTGCGTTTGATTCAGTTGCCTTGAGATAACTATGACCTGGACGAATGAGAATAGCCACAGGCACATTGAGGTTCTGTTCTGTTCTTCAGACAGTCTCTGTGTGAAAATACATTTTATAGTTCAAATTTGTTTACACAAGTCCAAAGAATGCTATTTAAAACTGAATAAAGTAGGCATAATCCACATCTTAATTGTTCATTCATAAAATTCATAAAAAGGTCTAATTTTGAATATCCAAGCGCAATATGCTGTTTACATCCACAGCGTCAAATTCAGAATATGGTCATATTTGGGGTAATAGTGAAATATTGGTAGGCATGTAAATGCAGACACGGTTGAGGCTTCCTTCAAGGCTCCCTTATTTTGAAAAATATACTGGGAAGGATTCTTTAAACAAAATTAAAAACCTATTCAATAGGATTTAGGAGTTTTGCTGAGGACATACTGGTAACTGAAGTGAACTTTGTGCTCTATAGCCTGATGCATACTGGATATTTTTGAGGCCTATACTAATGTTGATATTTGATAGTTTCATAATTCCTACATGGACAGATAAGGGGATAGTATTTTTTGAAACAAGTACATACATTTTTTTTATTATGACCAAGTTACACACTGAGCAGGAAATTTTAAAGTTGAAAAATCAACATGACTGTGCTCTCTGCTGGAGAAACTATGTAATGGTGACTCTGTTTATAGATTTCCCCAAATAACGACACTGATGTATTTACAAGAAGCTAACGAGGCTGCTATAACGACCTGGCCAATTTATCAGTGTAGCTAATACATATTATAATACCGGATCATTCTTTTAAACGTGTGACTGAGTGCAGAAATGATGAAGACTGTGCTGCGTTCAATGTCTCTGGACTGAGCAGAAAAAGACCCCCTGTGTTTCTGAGCAGATGTCTCCATATTTCAAATAAAAACTAAGATGAATCCATCATATAACCGCTGCTGCTGTGATCTAATCCAAACTCAACCAGTGAATGGATATGCAATTTTTGTGAGGCTCATTTTCACTGCACTAACATAACGGTACATCCATTTCAGGATGTGACACAACGTTCAACTAAGGCCATGTAATTCACGTCAACAAGAGTATAAGCTTCGTGGAAGATAACACAAAGCTAAAACCTTAGTTTATCCACGTATTATGTTTCGCTTCAACAAACAACAACCAGGCTCCACACAGAGCTAACTTAGCACATTAGCGGCCTAGCATAACAGATCCAAGCTAACACAAGTTAGCATCGAGAAGCCGGGAGAAAGCTGCGACATGTACACGGTTAGACTGTTTCATTACACCAGGAGTGATATTAAAGCAGCCACAGACAAACCAAGAGGGCAACAGAAGATACCTTTTATTCTCCCACAATCCTCTTTTCTGCAAATTTTGCCTCTTCTTCTTCTTTTTTCTTCTTCTTCTTCTGATGCTTTATGGTCGTTGGCAAACCTCTCTTTGGCGCATTACCGCCCCCTTCTGAGTTGGAGTAAAATAGCACTACATTCTCAAAAACTCTCCTAATTCTTATTTATAACAAAGACACTGGATAATATATATAGTTATAATACAGTATCTTTTTTTATAAGAAAATTAATCTTCCCCAACCCTCATCCCATTCTTTACTAAAACTAGCGGTATAAATTGTGGATCTGAGAGGACCTGAAAATCCCTCTCAACACTTCCTCTCCACTAAAACCATAATGCCATATCCAAAAACTTTGAGGCGTCGACATTTTCTCTCCGATTTCCTTTCCCCCTCAGCAGTGGGTGATCACCATGGCCAGAAATGCCAAGAACTCATCTACATACAGATTGTGTCCTCTTCCATGGAGTCCACCATGTTGTTTCTACAGTAGCCCAGACAAACCAAACATGGACTCTCGATAGGGCCAACTGCATTTTTGCATCAGCCAGCGTAGTTCATTCCAGAGAGACAAAAGAATTAAGTAAAGATCTGAGCGGCAGCAGGATAAAGTTGGAAGTGGGAATGACGTCACCTCCGAGTTGACAACAGTTTTTGCATTCTAGATGGCAATGGTGGACAAAAAACATGGACGCCCGCAAGAAAGCCTTTGTTGCCCTTGCACTTTCGGAGTATAGACAGCTTCAAAACCATCATGCACTCCAACTGATGAAGGCCGCAGATGAGGCTGACCTAATGTAAAACAAATAAGATAAAATTGCTATAAACAGTACTTTACCAGAGTGTTTACTCACTGTGACATCTTGAATACGTAAGTCGGGGTTGATGCGGTTGCTCCCGAGTTTCCGAGTTGGAAATCCGATTTCACTGTGTGTTTGAGTTTAAACTTTCGACGGGGAACTGGGAATTTCTGACCTCCGAGTACAAAACGAACACACCATAAATCCCCCCATGAAGTCAAGACACTGGTAGTGGTGGTGGCGGCTGATGACTCTGAGGCTGCTGACTGCTGAGGCGAATGAGGCTGATGAATCCGTAAAGACTAGGTGGTGATGGGGAGGTGGAGGGCACACATAACTGCAGCAAGAAAGAACTACGGCAGAGAAAGAACCATATTTAAAATGAGGAGCAGCAAGAGATAAGATATATATGTCTCCACACCAAATTTGCTGCCATGCCAGAAAAAGAAAATCATATCAGTATCACATTATAGTGTGAAAGTGTATTGTTGTGACAAGATGTTTTCCATGTTATGACAAGATATACTTTTTATCTTGTTATATCATGAAACACATTAAAACATGACTTATATTGCTCACATGAAATGTTATAAAATGAAACTTAACACTGTTTTAATTTGAAATGTATGTTTGAATGTGTGGAGAACAGATAAATTAAGGAATATGGCTCATTTACATGGTCTGATTTATGCCTGGGTTGAGATCCTGCTGTTAATAAGCAAAGTGGTTTATAATGACAAATCAGTGACAAATGACACTACCTCCAGAGGGAGCAAGTTTCTGTGGTTAGATTTAGGAAAAGAAACATGGTGTCGATGTACCTTGAATGGACTCAAAGTTCACACAGTTCTGAACATCGGTGTCCTGGGGAGAGCCCCGGGGTAAAGTCTTGTATTTTAGGACCCATCCACCACCCCAATCTTCCTCATGACAAGCCTGCTGTCTTCTTTATTCATTACTTCCGTCAGCTCATTTATCATGTGACTGCAACCTTCCCAAATACTTGGTATATACATGAATTACTGGATCATTATATTGTAAGATAAGTACAAATTTGTGGGCATTCATTTTTAAAGGAACATTTACAAACAGTGCATGAGAACAGCCTGAGTAACTGGTATACAAATGGTCTTTCCTGCAGGTAGAGTATTCCTTTAAGATGTCTGGTGAACTTGGCCCCTGGTCTGTGCCACAGAGATTTAAAAAGGTGTGTAAAATGTGTAGACTTAGGAAATTGAAAATAAAAGCTGTTATCATTGAGACAAGCATCCCTCCTCTATGGCAGCTCCAAGAAACACAGTCACATAAACTCATGACAGAAAAGGACAAACTGATGGAACCCACAATCCAGATCACACACATTATCTGCTGCTTCCTGAGCTTGGCTCTGAAGATATGAAATGAAATGTACAGATGAAAGTGCAACACATAGCAGCCACATCAAATAGTGTTGCATCACTTGAAGAAATGCAACAACATTTCCCAACAGCCTGAATAAAGTCGTGGCTCCACTGTGGGTAACACATAACGGTTGAGCAGAGTTCACACTGTAAACTGTCTATGACAGCGATGCTGTTGTTCATCTGGTAGTGTTATATTGTGATAAACAGGGTGATGACATGTTGTCACAATAATCCCTTCATGGTCCTTGTGAGTTCAGCCTGCGAATGTATCAGCAAATGATCTCTACTTCTTTATTGTCCACCTCATTCTGCTGCTTTATATTGTCTTCAGCTTCTGCCTTCTTCCTCTGGTCTGCGTCCTTGTCCTCTACCTCTTTCTTCTTCTCCTCCACCTCTTCTTCCTTCTCACCTTCTTCTAGTCCTCCCATCTCCTCCTCCTCCATCTTTGTCCTCCTCCTGTCTCGCAGGGCTCAGGGCAGACAGTTCGCCAGGAAGAGGATAGCAGAGAGACAAAGCAGTGAGAGGATAGCACCCACACCCACCTCCAGCTCTCGAGCTCCCTGCCCTTCCACATCCTCCTCCATCCTCTCTCCTTCTATCTCCTGGCTCGGGGAGAAGTACACAGTGCCCTCCTCCTGACTTGGCATCAGCACGGCTCTTTCCAGATTGTTCTGACTCACCATCCCTCTGTTGCCCACCTCGTTCCAGTTTCTCTTCCCATTTATTTTGTCATAGTAGTCACTGCTTACATTCTCATTCTCCTCCTCATCGAAGTTCGATGCATAGACGTCACTATCTGACTCAACCAGTGTGTCTGAAAAGTCAAACTCAAACTTCCCGCCCTCCTCATCCTCGTCCCCTTCTGGCTGCAGGTAGCCCAGGTCGAGGTTAACTCTTATCCAACCGGATCCTTTCGCCAGCCTTCTGGTCCCGCCTGCTCCTCCTTCTCTTCCAGTGTCCGTCCAATCTCTGTCACCTTCACTGATAGAGTTGGAGGTGACTGGCTGGTCAGCGCAGGTTGAAACCAAAAGTTCTGCACGCAGTAAAGGCCCGCCACCATCGCCCTGAGCAAAGATGCGTTGGCTGGGGCCGGGCGCCACCACAACCACAGACTCAGCCAATGAGGAGAGACGCAGGAAAAAGGGAAGGTCGTTGAAGGAGGAGAGGAGGGAGGCAGTATTGTCACTGAACTGGAGCCAGACGCTGATGGAAGCCTCCTGGAGGAACACAACAGGGTTATTACTTTGTTACTTTACTTTAAATAAAGAAATAAACCGGTTATTTTCAACCATCAGCCGACGGTAAATTCTTAATTAATGGCCACAACACAATGCTTTTATTTGAATACCTGCTTTATTTAAGAACTTAAGGTGCCTTTACAATGTTGAATTTGTGTTCCCACATCATTAAGTGCGTCTCTCTCACCTGGTGATGGTTGTACAGGATGTTGTATGCTGTGACTGTTGTCGTGACGATGGAAGGGTGGGTGGGGCTAGCTGTGAGGGACATGCCGAGGCCGCTAACCACCTGCACAGAAAGGTCCCCGGGGGTAACAGGCTCAGAGGTCACAGTGACGTCACATCTGCCTAGCACGCCATCCCACTGCTCAGAGACAACCTGAGAGAGAGAGACAACAGGTGATGATGATGATGATGCTCAGTAAATGAAGAACTGAACTGATGTACAGTTATCACCCACATGAAGTGATGTCTTTCCTGGTCGTAAACCAATCAGGTCGTTGTGGTTGCCGAGGGAAGCCACTCGAGGGTCCTCTACTCTCAGCCAGTTACGGACCAGCTCTGTAATGTCCACAAACCAATCAGATGAGCCCAGGAGGTGCGTGGTTCTGCTCTGAGAGTCCTGAGCAGTGAACTGAGTCAGGACCTGGATTGATGAGCGCTGATACACTGGCACACACCTGAAGAGACAGGACACACGTAAGAAATCGATGGCCTTAACATATTTCTGAGTGTCTGTGAGACAGTACACAGATGTACAGGATCATGCTTGTGTTACCAACCCTTATGTAATGAATAGCAACCTCAGATGTCGGAGGTCACAGCTTCAACAGGACTGAAAGGTTTCCTGTGGAGTTTCTGACCTCTAGTGGCACAATGGAGCAATTTTTCTATGAGTGGTTCCCCACTTTGCCTCTTGTGCATGTGCACATACGCGTGGGCAACATAAACTTCTGAACTACAGGTGACGGTAGTGCACCAAGTTTTGCAGCAATGCTCCAGTGAAGACAGGGGGGAAGACTGCAAGTGTGTAAACATGGATGTAAACAACAGATTTAATGAAATACTTTCTTAAAACTATGTTTACATGCGCAGAATATTGCAGTTTTTGCCCCATTCCAAAAAAAAAGACATAATTTCTCCGAAGCTGTTTACATGACTGCTGAAAATAAATATTCCACCAACATTCTCGTTTACATATAGCTGTGCATTCTCCAATTAATGTGATTTAACATGTTGTTTATCATCAATATATAGAAAAGTGTGGAATGGCTGAAATCGCTTGTCATTTTGCTTTTTTCGATCAAAATAGGTTTGTTCAACCGTGCAAACACAGCCTCATTTTATTCCTTCAAATACCTTGTTGAAAGGGTCTGTGGTGCGATATTCGCATGTATCCAAAAACCTACTGATATCCAAGTCTTTGGTAATGTTTAAAAGTGGGTGTGTTTCTATAAGTAATGTGGGCTTTTCTTTGGGGCATGTATCTCTACCTCAGCCTTGCAAACTGTTGGCTAGTTGGTTTGTTTACAATGCATCCACGACAACGCACAGAGGCGACCAAAAACAGGAAAGAGGCTGTATATCACAAATTGTGGTAAAGACCCCTGGTGAGATGCCTTTTCCAAATGGCATGTTACACGTCCAAAGAGTATTCTTGAACCCCAATAATACCGGCATATCCCACATATTTTAATCGGAAAAAGGCCTAATTTGGAATATCCAATTGGAGTATGGTGTTTACATAACCTATGTCAAACTCAGAATATTTGGAATATTCAGAATAAAAGTGCATGTAAACTTAGTCATTGTTCCAGCTTTAGCTAAAACTGTAGTCCATAAAGTTTAACATCATGGTTGTTCCTATATATCCATTTGCTCATTTGGACCCTCTTTGTTGAAAAGTTACAAAAACAAGTGATTTTTCCTTTTTTGGGCCAGAGAATGCTTGACACTGACTGATTTAATTACATACTTAAAGGACATACTGAGACTAAAGAGAACTTCCTGGTAATGTTTGTGTCCAGTGAAGCATGTAGAAAAAAGCTTATAAAGAAGCTAAATAAATCACAGTGAAGACACCTTAGGGCTGTCTCCTACCCTTTCTTTGTGAAGTGGTTCCAGCCATCGATGACGTTGAGAATGGGGTCTGCCAAGGACACTCGCAGGGGCACTGAAGGAGCCCACACTTCCACACACACAGAGCCATAGAGCGCACCTAGTTGAAACTCCACCACTGCACAGGTGTCACCCAGCCCTGACTCACTGCCATCCACAAAGAGGGTTGAGCAGTCGCTGGACACCTGCGGTCACGATGGAGACAGACAGAAGACAAGTGGAGAAGATTCCAATCTGTGTTAAGCTGAGCTGATGTTGAACGCTAGTCCATTCTTGACCTTGTAAAAAGGCATCTGAGAAAAACTTTCAGTCTTCAAGATCCACTTAGCAGCTTAGCAGAAAAGGTTTTTTTTGCTGCTAAAATCGTGTGGACAAAAATGATGTTATCCTTCTGAAGCTGGGCAACATAATTAACAAGCATACATGTTTTTTGTTTATTTTAGGCTGGTCTTTTGTCTCACCTTGACAGTGTTCTCGTTGGCTGAGTGGCACGTGACTGCAGAGGTGACGTCTGACACCTTCCCATCTTGGTTTATGGCCAGCACAATGACAGGAAGTGACACCGGCTGGTTGGTCAGTATGGCTGTGTTGATGATGGTGTTACTCTGAGGATAGAGGATCAGAAAAAAAAAGTTTAAACAGATTGATTGGACTGATCTTTAATGATCTCGAATGGATGAAGTACCTCTGTGATGGGAGCGATGCCAAAAATCTGTCGATCGGCAAATGAGAAGATGCTCGCTGCTGCCCCATGTGGTGATAAGTGGTTACTTCGCCCAGAGAACTCCACCCACCAGCTGGCAGAGACAGTCATGGCAACACCGAAGCTCTGCCTCAGGCCGTCGACTGACAGACACACCACCTGCTGGAGTGAAGTGGGACTACAGGGCGACAGATATCTGAGACTGAGCAGCAGCCAGTGTATTCAGGTATTAACTTTAATACATCAGTATATAAGTTCTTTAAATCCAAACTAGAAGCCATGAGCCAAGAGGAGGTGCAGAAGTCTAGTTTTCTCTCAGACCACTTGAATTACAATATGCTGAATGTTTATTATGGGATTTTTGCCCATTGACGCCAAAATGAAACTGCCTATCCCACCTTTAAAGTAATTGGATGCCCCCAACATCAAATGTCAGAAGTGTTGGAAATGGTATCTGGTATCTGTTTAAACCTTTGGTTACCTGAGAGGTAAAATGTGCTAAAATAATTTTGCTTGCTATTGCTTTTTTCTGTTTTAATGTGTAAGTGCTGTCACTATGGTTACATGTGTTGTTTTCAGTTATCACAGGATTGGCTAAAGATACTATGCCCCTTTGCCTGTCTGCATTTTTTGAGTGCAATGGTTTGCCGACACACTGAACTGAGGTGGAGTCAAACTCATGACCTACTTGTATGCGTGCTTGGGTGTGCTGTGCTTGTGGCAGATGATGGACACCACGTCATGTTTGGCGCCTTGGCTTTTCTCCAGGGTCACTGACCACAAGTCAGAGGTCAGAGTTCTTTGGGCCACCATTGACACTAAGCCCTTCTTCACCTTCAGCCTGAAGGCACAGACAGATTCTTAATGTGAAACTGCAAGAGTGTGTTGGCATTTAGTGACACAGAATGAATAATTTTGTGTTTACCTTATAACGACAAACTCAGCACTGAAGTTGGCTCTCAGATTCACCGACACTTTGATTGGCTGTCCTGTGAGGACTGGACCTCTGTAATAGCGAATCATGACATGGGGGTCCAGGCTAAGCTCCTCCTCCCCCTGCCCGTTCAAACAGGTTTCTTCTTCTTTGGTCCTGCTGTGCTCTCTGTCAGCCATCTCCTTCAATGTCACTGCTTTGATATGGATGAGCTGCCTCTGGGACTGAGCCTCTCTGTCCTCCACACATCTTGGTGGATGGTACGAGGAGATCAGCAGATGTAAGAGAATGACAGGCAGAAATTAATTGCTGGGCAGCAATGAAATAACTGAAAACTAAAAAGAGTCTCTCTACATGTTTCCATATTCTCTCTGACATACCGTGGTGGTGTCAGCATTAGGTCGGCCACTGTGTCGGAGGAGGAGTAGTAAAGCTGTATTTGGTTTCTTATGGGAATGCGACGGTATCTGAGGGCCCATGGGACGTACCCCTGGGTGTCACCATCAACACCTGGATGGTATCTGAATGAAGGCATAAATTAATCTTTCACATAGGCAACTGATTAAACGATCATGATAATCCACAACTCACAGAGGAAAAAGGAATCCAAGAGAACTGCTTCAAACACACCTGTCCATGCTCAGTTTTCCTGTTATAATCAGACCTCTTCCTCCTGCCTAAACATTACAGGCTTCGTGCAACACTTTCATGTCCTTATTTCAAACTCTAACTTTTTACTGTGAGGTTTGCGCACTTGATTGTTCCAAGTTGGAATCAGCAAACTCTCTTGACTGCACAAACTTGTTGCAAATTGCTTGTTTCAACCTAATAAAGGCCACCCGTGCATTAGGAGGCTCTTGGGCTGTTGCTCAAACTAAAGATTTCTGTTCTTACTTCCTCATTTCTGTTCACCTGCCAGCATGGACACAAAGTGTACTGAGGATGATCTCTCTCAAACTAATCAGTGCTGTTCAACTAAAAACCAAAATTCTGGCGCTGTATTGCCTATTTCTCACCTAAAATGTTTTCAGAAACATATCGTAGTGTCCTGTTTAGCTGTAATGTGAGAGTTTGTGAACGGGAAATAAGCACTATACTGTTTCCTGTATTGTGGAAATGGAGGCTGAAAATACTCAGATCAAACAGTTAAATTAAGCAGTGCCGGTCAAATATGAACCAAGATTCTATCACTGCATTGCCTATTTCTCATTTTAAATATTTTTAGAAACATATTTTAATCTATATTTTATCTGTAATATGAGATTGTTTTTTACCAGCTGGCTAACATACAAGCTCACATTATGTCACCAGCTGGAGTGTTTATTGGTTCGGAGCTGTGCAGTGCGTTCTGGTAGGTTTAGGTTTTCTACCTCTTCTACCTTTTCCAGGTTTTTTTTTTATTATATAGCACCAATTTCAAAAGTGTTTGCACAGAGAGCCCATATTCATGAAAAGACCAGCAGTGAAATACCTCTTTACGCAATTAGTGCCCTGTCACTCTCTTACTGTATGCCTGCTGCCACATTGTTCACACTGAAGCTATGCATGCCACTGATGAAATCACATGCTGTTACTGCTGCTAATATTCATACAGCATATGGAAAACCACTCCTTCACCAAGCGTCACTTCCTTGTAGGGAGTGTCGAGGTCAGAGCCAAAACACCAAATATTAATTCTGTACATTTTCTACTGTCATATAATAATCCATTGAGTTGACTGACTGAAATGAATGAGTGGACTAATAAATGAATAAACATTAAATCTTTAGACTTTACCTTAATGAAGGAGAAGTCGTATGGTAGCGGTTGACAAGGTTGCCATGGGGATATCCCCTCCGCTGTCGTTCCCGCTTCTGCACCCGACGACGAGGGTGAATGTTACTGTGCCAGTTGTCCAGATCTTGATGTGACTGGTTGGTGTGTTGATCCTCAAACCAGTCATTGGGCAGTGTCAGAGTTACCACACACAGCCCTAGTGGAGGCTGGGAAGAAGTGAGAAGGACAGAGAGAAAACACTGAGTTAAGATCAATGTGATCTTGCCTCTACTTATCGTGTTTTGGCATAAACACTGCAACTGATGTTGTTTGCTGGTCTTGAATGTCGGTCTCCTGCACTTGCTGGACCTATCCACCACCTCTCCTTCCCACCCTAAGCAGACTTGCTTGCTCCTTATACTTTGCCAGTAGTAGCATCTAATAATGATGCAAATGGGTTTATATTGGAGTTTATGAAAAGCCACAGACGCTAACACATTCGTCACTGTAATGACACCAGGGACACAGCCCTGAAAATAAGACCAGGCTTCAGAATCTGGACTTCACCTGTGTGATACAGGAGGCCTTGTGTTCCTCTGTCTCCTTGAAGGCATGCAGGGTGATACAGGTCCCTCGATTGTTGGTGTTGCCCCTCTTGTGGAACAGTATCCTCACCTTGAATCTCTTCTGCCCGTCCTTATCCCTCTCTGTCTCCACATGCTCTGAGAGGAGGGAGGCGGACAGAAGGGGAGAGAAAGGGAGGACAGGCTCTGATATGAGCTGTGGAAAAACAAGGAGATGTGTAAATAGTTAGCTTAAGCAGTTCATGTAAAATGATCGTACATTGGCACCCACAGATCTCTGTCCTTTCCTTTTTCTCTTACCTGTGTGACTGAGTAAGGGCCAAATGAAGCCTGGAGGCCTGGTCTCAGGGTCCGGCCAGGCTGGGGCACCATGAACAGGCTCTGGGAGAAGGAGAAGGGGCTGGAGTTGGAGAAAAGAGGCCCCAGCTCTGCCTGAGAGAGTGGGAGGAACTGCCAGGATGGAGGAACAACCGACATGTGGACCGGCAGGGAGAGGGGGAGAGGGGGCTGCAGGAGGGATGGAGGGACTGAGGGAATTAAGGATTGTGAGGAAATGAGAATCAAAGTGTGAGAGATTAAAGCGTTAGAAAGTCAAGAAAAATTTTGGCCCAAAGACTATTTAGTAGAGTTGTCTTGAAACCAATACTAGTATCAGAAATGCCTTCAATACTGTCTGAAATGCTGGATCGGGTATCAACGTGTATGTTAGTCTATGAACTGATCTGATACCATAAAAAGTAGTTTTAGCTGCGGGAATGAGGAGACTGAGACAGGAGAATAAGTCTGATGGCAACTGGTAGACAAGTGGAGAATGGAAGTGAACAGGTTTGGGCAAGTGAGAATGTAAAATCTGGAGGTGATCTTTTAAGAAAAATGGTGCAAATAGGACAATTGTGTGACAGAATTTATGGCTGAAAAGAGCAGGATACAAACAACAACAATAACAAGTGAACAGCATCAAAATTGGAATGAACAAGAAAGATTTCCCAGAGATTAATTAGAAATGTTGACCTCTGACCTCCACCCTATGACTCTCTAAATTACAGACAAAAACAAAAAAACAAAACAAAAAACAATTAATATGTTAAAGACTCACCTACTGTGAAAATCCAAAAGAGCAGCAGAACGCTAGCTCCTCTTCTGTCCCGGCACACACCGGCCCAGCTGACGTCTGCCATCACTACAGACCTGATGTAACACAGTGTCATGTGACCGCTGTGAATGAAATTGATGGAAACTATTTTGTATTCAATATTTCTGTCCAGTAGCACTAATTCCACCACTGATTAAGTTTTGACAAGCTTCTAATTAGCCATGCTAACTTGCTTAGGATGTTTTAGCATGTTAACAATACAATGATGGATGATGCCCACATACTACAGTAAGGGTACCTAGCTCAGTTATGGTTGGATTCACAGTCACAGTGTCATGGATGCAGAGGCCTGAGATAAGGGCCAAACAAATAAAAACTAACTAGGACAGATTTTCAACATGTGGGTGCAAACAACATTTCAATCAGAGGCCTTGTCCCCCAGTCCTACAGTTCTACTTGTCTTACTGATTGGTAGGCCCTACAAAGAGCAGATCCAAGGTGCATGTTTTGCTCTCTATGTTAGTGCTAAAAACAAAGATGCTCAAAATATAGTGAAAATTTTCTTTGGGCCCCAGAAATGTTCATATTACCTCTGCTTATTACCCCACACCCACAGTGAAAGACAATCCAGCGAATTCACACTACGTCATCAACCTGGAAGTTAGGCATTTTGAAGATACTGAACGTAATCAAATCAACTGAACCAAACTCGCAACTGTTTTTGATTATTATTGCTAATTTATTGCCATGTTCTTGGCTGTGCTAATCTTCCAGATTGGGAAATGCACTTGGAGTACCACAGATTGCCAAAAGCTATTGCAAATCAATGAGAAGAGTGTCTGAGGAAAAGAGGTGGTTGGAGTTGGCCAAACTGACCTGGATTTCTGACTCTCCATGAATCTTGGCAACACATAAGTTTGTTCTGTGTGTTTCTTATCAGGTAGATGAATTATTAATAACAGCAACTCTTAATTAAATTAATGATGTAAGGCAAGCATATTGATACTGAGCTGTTGTTTCTTGCATTCTTGGCTGAATTTCTGATTCTGATCTCACTCCATAGCCTACTACAATAGTACAAGATTTCTATAGTTTCTGTAAAATGTTCTTAAAATGTAGCTTCAAAAGTGTGCTATATTGAAATAAAAGGCAGAATTGTTGGGTCGTCACTCTAAGATAAAGAAGCCAGCTTGTAGGGATATATTAAGTGTAGCTTTTCAAAATATTGCACCCTTTCCCGCTGTCAAAGTCCTTCTCTGTAAGTTTTAGCAGCTTCCACATGTTTTTCTGACCTTCTTTGTGGTTTAGACATCCTAAAATTGGCTTACGTTGACCACTCAGCGTGCAACTATTCTGTTATTTACATCCCGTACCTCAGTATTGGTCGTGCATCTGGGTTATACTGACCAAACTGTGGGTGCAAACACTTATTGCCAATCAGAGCCTCCACAAGTAACATCTTAGACAGGGACGCTAAACTAGCAGACAATATTTACAGGTCAGTGTCTCCTGTGAACATATACACACAGTCACACACTCATACACCTCAGCTGGGTGGAACTAGGTTAAATCCAGACACTGTATGTTCTGCACAAGATCAAAGACCAGACAGTAGAACATACAGCTAAATATATAAAATGTGCGTGTTATGCACATGTTCCCAGGAGACAACAATCACTGTGAACAGGTCAGATGATACAATACAGTTAACATCCACACACACTCACACACACACACACACACACACACACACACACTATGTTGTATCTTGTACTTCTATATTTGTGAGAACTCTCATTGACATCATGCATTCCCTAGCCCCTTACCCTAACCTTAACCATCATAACTAAATGCCTCCAACTCCCCTTATCCTTACCCTAATGAAAACCTGAACCGGCCTCAACCAGCCAAAGTGTCCTCAAAAATGTCCTCTCTCTGTGGGTTAAAATGCATGGTCCTCACTATGTATTAAGTACAAGAACACACACACACACACACACACACACACACGCACGCCTGTCCTTTCACCCACCTGTATCTGTCTATTTCAGCTCCAGATTACATCTTTTCCTCGAGGCATTTCCTAAACAGGCAGCTCCCTCTGTCCTTGCTCAGAGCCGCATCTCTGCTTCCAACAGGAATTTAAAAAATACTTCACAACAAAACCAAACAATTCCAAAAAATAATTTTCTCTCCCTCTCTTCTTTGCTGGTCTGCTGCTGCTGCTGCTCCTGCATAAACCCTCTCTCTCAATCTGTCTCTTTCTCTGCCCTCCCTCTCTGTGCCAGATTCATACAATACAGATTATTTATTCCTTTAAAACGGTAAATAATCCTCCCCCTCTCTCACTGTTATGTCCCCTCCCCTCCCCTTCTTTATGATCTCACGTTTTTGTTCTTATAGGTTTTGATTCTTGCGTTCTTGCTTCCCATCCTTGCCCCTCCCCTCTTAGTTACTTTCTCTGTTATCCCTCCTCCCTGTCCCTGGATATTAAAGAGCAAGGACTAGACCTTGAACCTCTGACAATCCAAACCACTCCAACAGGACATCTGGCTTGATAACCGCCAACTGCCAATCATTTCATGGTCAGATGATGCTCCAGCTCAGCTTCTAACAGCAGATATACACTAGTCTTCCATTGTACTTTATATCCACTGCCAAAAATAGAAAGGACAAATGGTCAGACATTAACATGCAGCTCTTCTCCTTCCTGTGCATACTGTTAATGACCTAAAAAGAGAACCATAGATCAGACCTCAACGCCTTAACTCTTTTTCTGTCCTCCCTCTATCAACCCAACCATCTCTGTTCATATATATATATATATATATATATATGTGTGTGTGTGTGTGTGTGTGTGTGTGTGTGTGTGTGGTGTATGTGTTGTGAGAGCAGCAGAAGGGGCTTAGTGGACAATGGATCTGATACAGAGAGGAGCTTAACAGAGGAGAGAGGAAAAAATGAAAAACAGCATCAAAATTTCATTAAACAGACCTCCACCTACTTACACTGAACTCCATATTTTCAAACCAGTCCTTGTTAATCCAGCACTCGTTTTACATTACCTGAGATTGAATTAATAGTAATGGAAAAATTAAAGCATTGCAACAGCGCATAACCAACTCAATCACCAGGTTAGGTTAGGTTTAGGCACAAATACCATTAGGCTGCACGTTCATTCTGACACGTGCTACTGTACCTGACAAAGTTTGAGGTGGCAGCATCCACCTATCAAGATCCAGGGATATCTTATCTATAATTTCTCATTTAATATAACTTATGAAAGTCATGTGGTATGATGGCGCCTAGGCCACCTAAAACATAAGGCCGCTCAAATCTGTATCATGTGAATTTAAAGCCAAAGCTTGACAACATTTACTTTACATCCTGAGAATTTACCCTATGAGGCCAAGCAGTCCATCAGTCTTGGGATTCAATTTCTAAGTACTGACAGATACAGTAACACATCATCTGCATATAAGACAATAATCTTATTAAAGGTTGAGATGCAGAGGAGAATGCATGCTGTCTCTGCAGAAACCCATGTCCTAACTAAGTTATACCTTATTGTGATGGAGAAAATGTAGCTGTGATGATTCTGTCACAAACAGCAACTTAAACAGTCATGAATCTAACTTTGATGGCTCTTACATGCCTCACAAAGATCATGATGAGGGTCCTAAGTGAGAGTGGAATAAAACTTATTCAAACACAATCATGTCCCTCTGGTTGGATGACAAATGCATAATGAAGGATATGTCAACTCAGCGTGGTCTCACTCCCAAGTCATCAAATACAGACTGGTCAGTGGCCCATCGGTGTTTGACACCAACGCACAGAGGCACACTTTAGCGGCAGTATCAGTGAATGGGCAGTGCCATTTGTTGATGGTCTGGGCAACTACAGAAGTATAAATAGCGAGGGGGGAGGGGGATGGGTCAAACAAACACCGGACTTTCACCTAGGTGCCCACAGGACGTGTTTTGTGTACAACCAAACTTCAATCAAGTTGTTTTAATAATAATGAAGTGTGCTAGTATGTGTTGCATACAATGCTAATGACGTATGTCACATGACATGTGATGCAATGTTACAATACAGTAGTAACAAGTGTACTTATTATAAGCCAAACCATAAAGCTTTTTCTAAACCTAACCGCGTACTTTTTTAAAGTATTTTTTAAGTTTATTTTGAAAAAGACTGTACACATTTAATTAACAGAAACTGTACATTGCTCTGAAAACAGAATTTAAAAAAAGAACATGTATGCAATGAGTGTAAATTGACATGCCATCCCTGAAGATCCAAAACTGACGCAGGAGGGGAACCTAGCGTGTCATATTTTGATGTGATGGGCCACTGGCCAAGTGACCGTATTTGAGTTGGGATGAGAATGTGTATCTCAATTTAATTACTACAGATAAAATTCAATATGGAGTCTAATTATATTTTTTATTTCAGATAATAGAGGGGCTTCAATATTTGATATGAGTGAGTAGTTCTTCTCCTGCTGAAAAAGTGCGAAGCTTCATCAATAACTCTCAATATCTTTGAGGTAGGAGTGTCTTTAGTCCTAAATTAGCCTCATTAATCTGGTTCAGACTCCAGATGTGTTCTATAAACACAAATTATTTTGCATGTATTTTCAGATGTGTTTTTCTTTTCTTGTAGATCCAGATTTCAGTTTAAGTGTTTACCAGAAATTGTCTCATTTTCCAGGGTACCATTTCAGCTCCAGACCTAACATAGGACTACAGCATTAAACTGCTCAGGGCCCTTTCACACCTACCTCATTTGGTCTGGAGTTTTGGGCTTTTTAGTTTGCTCCGACCCGAAAATTACAGGTGTAAATCTCCCGCAGACCACGGTCAGCACCAAACAGCCATATCATGTCCTGAAAAGAGGATGTTGTCAAAGATCAAACTGAACCATGATCTGGTTGTTTCTGGTGTGAAAACCTTTTATTAATGGTTGAACTTTTGGATGATTTACAGGTTTTTTGCCAGGCTATTGGCATGTGAAAAGAGTAGTACTACGCACCTCAGTGCGTAGTGTGTGTGTGGTTTAGCAATGGAGAGAATGACGGTGACTGTGCTGAGAGCAGACAGGTGTTGGTGAACGCAGCAGAAGAGAAATTAGCAGTAAATTTGTGGTGTGGTGGTAAATGTACAGTGTAAGTTTGTCCATGAACAATGCAACAAACTAAAATGAGTGTAGCACTTGGGGAGAGAAGGAAACTTTATTAGGAGTCAGTTGGAAAGTGGAAGTGGAAGTTTTTTCTGGGAGGATGAGAGAGAAGATGCGAAGGAGGATTAGAGGACGAGATGAGGACAAGAGCCCACCTGCAAACCGATCAGTGTCAAGTTTAGTGAGACCTAAGTCACGTAGGTGATGACGATAGGGCATAGACATGTCACAATTGCAATGTGAAATCAAAACTAATGGCATCGAATTATACAGTGTAACAAAAATACAAACCTTGGCTCGGACATTCAGGTGTGAAAAAGACGCTGTGGGGCATCAGGCCATTTTGTAATATGAAACATACGTTTTCCAACTCAAGTACATCTCACATACTGTAGAAAGCATTATTTACGTGAGACTGTATACTGTGACATCTCCTGACTTTTTGTGTCGTCACAAAGCTGCTTCATTATTTACAGGTTTCTCTAAAAGTGATGAAGCAACTTCTTTATCTCTTATGTAGTTGTTTCTTGACCTTTCCTCAGTTTAAACTGAGTTTATACTATACTTTCATGTTGGCCCGATTTAAGTTATCATTTAATTTGCTCAGTAACCTGCTGAATAAAACACTGACTATTAAACTGGTAGTCAGTGTTTAATGCAATAATAACATTCCTTATTATTTGTATCCACAACTAGCAGCTAAGAACAGGCTGCTGAGATACATTACAGGAGTGGTGATTTCTGTCCCTCACTGGACTGTCATTTAGGGATCCTGGTGTTGAATTATTTTTATGTTTATGTTTGGATTTACCAGGCCAGATGGCTCATAGCTTATCACGCATTTAATTTCGGATATTTTCGGCTTCTGTCTTCTAAGTTGCTGTGGTGTATTTGTGCAGTGCAGCCTGGAGATGACCTGTCAATCAAACTTTGAAACACCATTTGATAATCTGAGGACATGAAATGGATTATTGTATTCATCATTCATACATGCATGTTATCAGCATCATAGGGGTAGTGTTAAATCGCTTTTAGGTAGTAGGAGACCACAGAAATGTAACAAGATGTCCTCTTCAATCAGTCTCCATCCTGCACAAAGGGCTCCTTCCTCTATTTTTTCCTTCATCTTTCCTCAATAACTTGACATGTCTTCATCGGTCTGTATATGTCACATGCTCTTCCATTTCTCTCTTTCTGCTCCCCCTCTCTCTCCATTTCTGTCCCCCCGCATCAATCCCCTGCTGGATAATCTGCAGCTGTAATCTGCAGTCATCTGTCATTGTTTCTCTGGATGGGACATTTGCAATGAGGCCAGATTATCATCTCATACCGTGACCTGACCAGCGGAGGACGAGGCAAAATACACCCACTCATACACAGATGGACACACACACACACACACACACACACACACACACACACACAGAATTGCAGTAGAAATAGGCCCGTTTTTGGGTAGATTGATGAATCAGGCAGTGGTGAAGTTAGGGGGAGGGGCTTAAACCAGGCAGGTGAAACATAGTTCAACATGACATACATAGATCAAAGATGCACCCTTTAATATCTGTACATGATGCACAGCTGTCTCCTAAGTTAAAAAACATTGTAACACGTGGTTTTCAAACAGTCATGGATCGGTTTGGGCAACAAAACTACTTACTTAGATTTAGGAAAAAACACAATTTTGGATTAAAATAACTATGTAACGTGAGCTACGTAAGTTACATAATGTTACGTTTAAACAACACTGACTTATGTTTTCACGCGGGACACAAACGGCGGTCTCCACTCCTGCCTTTATTGCTCTTGCTACTTTGTCAGTTGCTCTGTGTGTCAAGTATTGCCATGAATGGGTTACACAGTAATCACAGTGCATCTCATAGAGATGCTGAAGCCTGCCTTTGGTGTTGGTATCATACGCAGCGGGGCATGACAAAGTGTCAACAATTCTCTACTGTACTGTGCTATTGGAAAATAGACCGTAACAATATGTCCTAAATACAGCTCCACTGTGTGTAATTTTAAATTAATGAATGAATAAAAAATGGTTATTAAATGGATAAACCGCACAAGAGCTGAAGCTCGCCTAAATATCACAAGAGATGAGAGTCATTTACCACTAGGTCTAAAAGTTGGACCAAAGTTGCATCTCGCACTTTTTGCCAGTTTGGAGTGATTTCCTTCTTTGAGGCGCTTGGAAAATACAGGTCATGGTTTGCAGTGCTGGAACTAGCACATATAGTGCCCTAGGCAAGTTTCCCAAGTACCCAAAAATATAATTAATAATTTGATTTGATTTGATTTGATTTGATTGAATTAATTTAATTTGATTTAATTCAATTTTATCTAATTTAATACAATTTAATTTGATTTAATTCAAACTTATTTAATTTGATTAATTTAATTCAATTTAATTTAATTTAATTTGATCTAATTTAATTCAATTTAATATAATTTAATTTGATTTAATTTAATTTAATTTAATTTAATTCAATTTAATATAATTTGATTTAATTTAATTTAGGGTGAGAAATCAACACAATTAAACTACTTAGCTATCAACCAACAATAATAATGACAAACAATAAAAGAATATGGTATGTGAAAATTTGAAAATTGTGTATTGCACTGCATGACTCTTGCCTTTACTTTTTCTTTTTCTTTTACACCAATGCTCTCCACATACACACCACTCTACCATCCCCATTAATGTTTTAGCATGATCTGACTGTGATGATCTCTCACTCACACTCTGACATTTAGGAGAACTGCATTGCCAGGGCTAGAGGTGGTACCCCCACTGCATTCTTTTACACAAGAATTTTCTATTTTCCATTTCCAAGTTTGGTAAAAATCCAATCAGTGATAGCTGACACATGTGATGACGAGCAGATGAATAAACAATCAACCTCAACCCAGACTTCACCACGCATGAGACAGAAAGAGAAAGTGGGAGGAAGAAAAGAACAGAGGCAGACAAAAGACAGAAGACAAGAGACGACTGAAAAGAATAATGAGGGATTGAAAGAAACATGGTAAGACAACAAGGAGGAGAAAGAAAGAAGGAGACTGGGGGAGAAGGGGGAAAGATATACAGGTTACGACAGAAATAACACAAACAGGAAGTTGGTGTCAACGGCAGAGGAAACCACATCTCTGCACTTAGTAACCACCTTCATCTCTCACTCCTTCCTCCTCCTCCTCCTCCTCCTCCTGTCTTTCTGTCTTCTCCAAAATCTACAACATTTTCCATTCACCTACTTCAAAGACAACAAATCAGGTCAAACACAACTTGGATCATTTTACTGAAAACAAAACAGTTCACAATATTAATCACAAACAGACAACAGAAGAAACAAAATGTATGTCACAGTATCACTGAATGAATATAGCAGAGAGTTTATGAATAGTTTGAAAAATTAAAGGAATAGTTCAACACTTTGTAAACTTTGTGAGTTTCTCAGTTTCATCTCTTGTTGTCCAGTACGGAGATAAGTCTAAAATGAGTTTAGACTATCTTAGCACAAAGACTGAAAGTAGGGGGAACTACTTGCCAAGCTAAAGGTGCACAAAATTAACCTGTTACAGCTGCAAAGCTGTCTGTTGTTATAGCTTGTAAGTAAACAAGCAAGTCACCTATATATCCAACAGTCACCTGATGGAGCTAAAAACTGGCAACACCATTCAAGACCTTTTGAGATGCAGTCATTAGATGAAGGCTTTCTACTGTCACAGACTGCCAGTCATTTGTTATTTAAGAAGTAGCTCCAATGCTAACTGCTAAACAAAGATGTATGAACACAATGTACAATGGTGGCGGATATGTGGTTTCACAGAATATTGTAATCAACAATATCATATCTTAAAAGGATGGATCAGATTTTTGAAGTGGGGTTGTACGAGATGCTTATCTATAGTCAGCATATTATATTCACTACATGGTGGTCGTCATGCTCCCAGTTTGAAGAAGCAGACAGGAGTGTCGACGCAGAAGGAAAATGTATCTTAGCCACCTAGATAGAGGCCCAATGTCACTTAAGGTGTACGCTATTTTTAGAATATTTTATCCCCTTTACTTCATCGTCATACAAGCTTTTCCTTTGGCACTACATTTTCTCAACTGTTGAACTTCCGTATTCATACACATAAACACAACTGTGCTGCACGCTGCATTATGCTGCAGATCAGCTGTTGGGTCAGACTTTCAGCGTTTTATGGAGGAGACAGCAAATACAAGAAAATAAAAAATGAGTGGTTATGACAGCGACAGTGACATGCCATTCACTGTGAGATACCTTTATGATCCAGAGTATACAGAAAAGGAACTTTTGCAGAGGAAGGTTGAACCTGGGATGTATAAAGAGAACTGGATACAGCATTAGAGGCGGAGCCCTGTTCATTCCTATGAAGGTCAGTGGTGCATGAAGCCAAAATCATTCAGCTGCCACCTATAAAATTACCCCAATGATTTACTGTGTTATCAAATGTTATCAGACCAAATGAATCAAATCCTGATAGTGAAACGAGTCATTTCGTTGAGGTTGTGACGATCAAAAAAAAGTATCCACAGATAAACAGACGTCTCCTTCTCAATGTAAGTCTACGGGACAAAAATCTTTTGTGGCTTCAAGTGATGGACTTAAAAGCTATAATTACACTGTTTGGCCACTATGAAAATTGTCTTCAAAGCCTGGTGAAGTTCCTGGAGGCCTGGACTGAATGGGCCACAAGAGACAGATGTATGAGATTATGGAAGTTCTATAGTGGAGAAAATTTATTGCCAAAGGAAATGGCTGTCTGACTGTGAAGTAAATCAGTGAAAATATACTTAATATAGTGCCCACCTAAACTGGAATAGATTTTTTAAGGTAGAACTTTTTTTTAAGTGGCTAAAATCAGTTTTGCTGCTAACCTCCATTCTTTGGTGGCACTTCTGTCTGCTTCCCCAAACAGGATATGTGCAGACTGACATCGACTGTATGTAACACAGACTATAGACTGCTTCAAAGAACCCCACCTAAAAAAAAATCTGAAATATCCCTTTAATATAAATTTAGTCAGGTTGCTATAACTTATTCTTCCTTTTCCAGTTTGTTTTATTACTGTATAATACAATCCAGAAATAGTCATATATGAAAGCATATGTTTTGCCCTGATGATGATGATGATGGCGGTGCTGGTGGTAGTGATGCAGAAGGAAGAGGCGTGTCAGAAGTTGTAATCACTGTTCCTATTGGATGAAGGCTCTCTGCTGTCACTGACTGCCAGTCGCTCCAGAGCTGATTTGACAACATACAGGGAGAGCAGTCAGATTTAGACCAGTACAATGACTGCTGGAAGAGCAGTGAGCTAATTATACGACTGTACGTATGGCTGGTTTAACATTCTAAGTGTGTGTGTGTGTGTGTGTGTGTGTGTGTGTTACCAGGGTAGGACACTCTCTTCTCTCCGTCATTGTTTTTAACTGCACTTTTTCCTCGATGATAAGACACTGAAACAGGGACATAAACACATCAGAGATAAAAAAGGATGAATTTGGTGTTATTGTTCTTATCGTCAACCGATCTCATTGTCAGACCCAAATCAACAATATGTTAGTCCGTCTCTCAGTACTTTTCGGACTTCCCTACTCTGTGGCTCTCAGCTCAATCCCCAATTGGTTCCTACTTAAGACATTAATCTTTAAAAAAAAAGCACACAAATATGAAGTCTCATTAAAAAAAGACTGTGTCCAGTTTTTAACAAAGATATGGGAGGAAATAGTACATTTTATTAGGGACTTTTTTCAGCGGCGGATTACAGTAATCCACATTTGGTGCTCTAGCGAGTATTTGGGGCAGCAGGACGGTGTCTGTGAGATTGAGTCAAAATAAACTACAGTGTGTGTGTTTATGGTTACGAAGGAACGTGTGACCCAGTGCAACTGTGCTGCTCACTGATGTGTTTTTAAGCACAGAAGAATAAGATACATATACACACACAGCACTGACTGCAAGAATAAATTAAAATCTCCACACTTATCTTTTAATACTGCATGCATGAGTGACCTTAAGTATGCTGGTAGATGTACAAATGATTCTTTCACTCAGTAGCCCTATGTAAAGTGTGCATGTGTGTGTGACTCACCACTGTGACTCTGCGTAGGTCCGATCCAGCGATTCTGCCTCCTGTCTGATACTGAAAGCCAACAACACAGCAACCAAACCACTTAATATTTGTGTAAATACTGCAGGAATAATCCGTAAAACTATCAGCTGTAGATTTTCTACGTACGCCCAGTTCAGACCAAAGATTCACGACAAGACGAGCTGAAACGAGAAACTACTTGCAATGCACCGCTCTGCAACGTTCTTAAAACGCTCACACCAGTGCAACTAGATAAGATGGTACAACAACTCTGTGTACTTCCGTTCTGATTTCCAGCTTTTCAGGCTTATGTGGCTGATAGTGATAGTGAGATACTGGCTACAGTTGCATTTGAAAAAAAAACCTGCAAGCGAACACGCTGTCTGCAGTCATTCTGATTTGACCAGCAGACTTCACGACAAGCCAACTGGCTGTAGAAACAGGTGACAAGCTTTATGTTCTAAAACCAGCCACCCAAGATTTGATCAGCTGAGTCAGGTGACACCAACAGCCAGCTTGAGTCGAGCTCAGACCGGCCAGTTCACGGTGCTGCAACTTTTCTCTGCAGCATTCTAAGACACTTTTGTCTCGTCGCCAATCTTTGGTCTGAACTGGGCCTTAGGTAGAAAGTTGTAAGGGGCTCTGTTTTTGTGAAACATGGTGAGGCATGGTGACTTCTCGTGAATAAGACTTTTTACATGTTGCAAAGCCTTGTAGATTTTACTTGAGCTGAGGATGTTTCAATTACAGGGCACACTACCTTTCTTCTCAATTGGCATTGTACGTTTTTGCAAACCACACATAGGTTATATTTGTATGTTATTATGTAGTGGATATGTTAAAACTTTACGTTTCAACAGTGCTGTGGTTAATGTGTGGTTAGGTTATGGTTTGGAAAAGATCAAGTTTTGGCTTAAAATATACATCTTTGCGGGGGACGATCTCCGTTGGAAAGACAGTGACAGGTCGCTACAAAACACCCACGTTTGGTGCCTAAAAAGCTGCTTGAAACACAGCAATGAGTCACTAAATCATAATGGAATTTGTTTGTTGTTCTCAAACAGTGGTCTGCAGCTTGGCAGCAGTCTCACTTAGGTGTCACCATCCACCTCCATCATCCATCCATCATCCTTTAGAAACTTTGATATGATAGGTATGAAATGTACAAATATGACATATTTATGGTTTGCAGAAACACACAATTCCAACATTTTCTTCTGGCGACTTGGCCGCATGTATCTGGGCTCAACGTATAAAAGCAAATCTATCTTTGTGGCGAGATACTAGTTTGAACAAGGGCAAAAATATTTTTCAGATTGCCATGAACTGACCCTTTAGAGCCCTGTAAAATTATTTTTTAAATCTTGTGTGTGTGTGTGTATGTGTGTGTGTGTGTGAGTGTGTGTGTGTGTGTACACTTACGTCTCTTCTGCAGGGCTTTGACGGTGGGTCTGGTGAAGCGGATGAGTAACAGGATCAGCAGAATGCAGCAGAGCAGAGCTGTCACCACTTTGTAGGCGTGCAGTTGCCCCTCTACATCTGGGAGGTTCTCAACTGGACACACACACACACACACACACACACACACGTAAACACGTATGCATGCTTTGTTTTCCATCTACATTGCCTGCCTTTAGAAGTTGTTAGGACACTTCTGAGAGAATGAGAGACTTTATTTCACCAAAACATGACAAAGGTCGTCACTTCACTGTGATTGGATGACTTCGATTCAGGTGGGGGAAACGGTCTTCGGCCATGGATGTATAAAGAGAACTGGATACAGCGTTGGAGGCAGAGCTCCGTTCATTCATATGAAAGTTGCTCAATGTCAAAAACGTTTAACTTCCTGGGTATAAAATTACCCAAAATTCCATCATTGTTGAGCAAGTGCACCAGAGACTTTCACAAGCCAAGCAGCTTTCTTCCACTTTAGCCCTCCTTTAAATAGAAATGGTATCGGCCTGAGTGGATCAAATCATGATAGTGAAATGAACCTTTTTTAGACGGTTGTGATGCTCAAAAAAACATATCCACTGATTTACGTCGACGTCTCTTTCACAATGTAAGTCTATAGGAAAAGCCTTTTTGGGCCCAATGGCATCACGTGATGGAGCCAGAAGTTGTAATTCCACTCTTTGGCCACTACGATGCACTTCCTGGGGTCCTGTCTTTGACACAATAATGGCATGTGAGGTGCCATAAAACCCAGTGCATGAGTGTCGTTAACTGTTGGAAGAGTTAATGATGATCATGTCCATTAGTTGAAAAAAGATACATTCAGTTCACCATTCACCAAAAACATGAGCATGTGCTTATTTAGTGCATTCATGCACAACACTGATCTCATAATGATGATATATTGAGTCCTAATCATGTGAAAGTCTCTTTTTGTCTTTGGCGTACGCACTATGCTTCAGTCAGAAGCTCTTTGTGTTTCATATCTTGTGTTGCTGATGTTGCACTGTTCCTGAACGGTGACATTTATATTCAAAAGAACTTATAAATTGTAATATACTGAAAGTTGCACTGAATGCGGAGCCATATTCTAAGTCCTGTACTTGGATCAGATCGTTTCTCATTTAAATCAGAATTTTGTTAAGAACTTATTCAGTTCTTATTCAGCTGTTTGTGTTAAGACAATAGTAAACAACATTTCTCATGTTCAGGTACTAAATACAACACTGACACCTAACTTTACAGTGTTATAGTACATAGTTTGTGCATCAGTGATTTTGCACACTTGTGTATGTTAAGATAAAACACTTTGTGGTTATGCGCTGCATGTGTTGGCCTCATAAAGCCTGCACATATAAAATGTCAAACCACAAGAGGACATGAAATTAGCTCACTTACACACACATCCACAGACAAGCAGCGGCACACAGACAGTAGACCAACCTTTGCATCGGACCTTCAGTGCCTCACAGCTGTCCCCTTTCTTTTCTTCACTCTCTGTGATGTCATAACGATTCTTCTGAATGATTTTCCCTTTGACCAAATCTGGCTTGGTGTCTTCACAACCTTTACGGTTCACACACACGTCTCTCAAGAGGCTCTCAAAGCTTGTTTTACTGCGGTAACAGACAGTCAAAGAGGAGTTTGAGGGATAAGGGAGGATCAAGTTAACGTATCCGTCACATTTGGTCCATTTGATTATGAAGAGGCCCAGGTCAGCTTCAGAGCGGCAGGGGGTGGGGGTGGGGGTAGCAGGGGCTGCTGGAGCAGCACTGGGGCAGGTACAGTTCTTGCTGGGGCTGTCAGTCACAGTGTGGATGGGAGTCGTTGTGCTGTTTTGCTGAAGTGTTTTGTGGTCTGCTCCTGGGAGACAGAAATCAGTTAGTGTTGAGAACACAGATCAACACACTGCTTCAAACAACGACACAAACAGGACAGTCACTTTGTGCTGAACCACTTTAATCATCTTCATTTGATGACACAAACGCACTTGTAATGTTGTAAACTAAAGCTGCTGATAATCAGGAACTTTACATTTGTGAGGTGTTTATGAAGATTTTTTATCTCACACTCCTCTGCATGCCATGAGGAGGCATCTTTAAAACAAACAAAAAAATAAATTTTCTTAAACTTACGCACATTTACTCATTGTAACAGTTTATATGTAATTTAATGTTCTTGTGCACAGAAATAGTTTTGTGAAAGCCTGACATAAAACATATAGTCTATGATACTATGCGTGTGTGTGTGTATGTGTCTGAGAGCTTATTATACAAGCAATAAAACAGCTATGAGTAGAACTACATGCCGACTCTTAGAATGAATAAGAGAACTGCGAAACTGAGGCGCCAGTACAGTGATATCCTGATCAACTCCAAAAATTAGAATTGTACATTTTTTGCAAATCACAGATACGTTACATTTGTACGTTATTATAAATTTAAGTTAATAAGCTGAAACTTTACATTTCAACAACACTGTAGTTGACATCTGGTTATGTTTAGGAACAAAAACAACACAGACATGGTAAGTAAGAGATCACATCTTGGCCTAAGGCGAGACACTGTGGGTAAAAACAGTATTTTCATCCACTGGTCAATTTTAAGTTGTTGGCCTATTTTGCCTGTGTAACATCTGCTTTCAGACTAGTGAAAAGAAAACATCCAAAATACACATCTAGGTATTTATTTTAGTTCAGATTTATGTACTGGAAATTTATTTAAAAAGCACATTTGATAATGCCTCATTTGCATACTTAAACATTTTTTTAGAAAGCTTAATTAATAAATCATTATTGTAATAATAATCATTAAATAATTATCAAAAATAATTCATCAACTGAGGACATTTTAGGGGCGTCGGTAGCGTAGTGGATAGTGCCGGCGCCCAATGTACAGAGGCGATGCCTCGCTGCAGCGGTCGCAGGTTTGACTCCGGCTTGCAACCATTTGCTGCATGTCACCCCCCCCCCNTCCCCCCCCCCCCCCCCCCCCCCCCCCCACCCCCGGCTCTTTCCTTCACCCCATTTCACTATGTCCTGTTCATTAAAGACAAAAGCCCCCAAAAAAAATCTTTAAAAAAAAACTGAGGATATTTCACGGTGATATCTATTTGTTCAAATTTTAACCATATTTACCTGTAGTGTCTTATTTTGTTGTCTAAAAATTTATGGAATTTTACAGTGCTTGTCTTTAAAGGACATTTTCTTTAAATTAGTTTTTTCTCTCACTCTAAACCAGACATCTTCACATCAGTAGCACTTACATTCACTAAATTTTCCTATCTATATTCTGAAAGTTTTTATAGAGAGGTGTTTTTATACATTATTCATACCCCGATTTATATAACATGTTATTCCTCAAAACATGGTGAAAATTGATTTTGTTTTATGGCTGTTGAAAGTATTTTCTGATTTACGGAGTGATTAAACAAGATATCCATGAAGATCCCTCTGTAAAAACCTTTGACTCTGATACGTCAACAAAATGAAACAATTTTAAACCTGGTTTTATCCAGCATTCAGATTTCTGTTCTGGAAATGCATGAATTTTAGCGCATTTTAAATTATATAATACCTGATTTGCATATTTAAACATCGAATTTAAAGATCTACTGTCTCCCCTTAAAATACCCAGTTTGGAGGACACAATCTCGGTAAAAAACAATCACTTTTTTGCAGCACTATCACTGCCAGAAAAATGGTGACAGGTCCCTGAAAAACACCCACATTTGGTGCGTATAAAGCCACTGGAAACATAGCGACGGGGCCTTAAAACAAACAAACAAAACCGCTTTGCAGTGGTCTGCAGCTTGGCAAGCTTGTCAGTGCACTTCTTTGTGTGACTGGACTGAATATGGGACAGCTAAAAGACCTGAAATAGCAGGACTAGCACAGTTAAAAGCCATGTAAAGTCTGCTATGTCATCAATAAGATTCACAGAAACTGACAGCCTGTGCAAAAGGGCTAAATTCAGGTGATGAGGGTAGATGTTATCTGTAACCTGGCTTCTTATGTTCTGAAGCTGAGCTACAGTACGGCTCCTGTATTTAAGCAGATTAACCAGGCGTTGCAATAGTCCAGGTGCTCAGGACTCATGAAATTTAGCTGCAGAAATTCTGACATCCAGTCTTTCTCATCACTAATCAGCTTTGTTGTGTTCAGAAACATATAACTGACTGTAGTCAGCAGTGAAAGGACATGTTCTCTTTTGCAGGCCGTAGCAGAGCATCCTGCAGCAAGCTTTGTGACCTTCCTAGCTCGTGCTCTCGGTGCATGTTCATGAAGTTTACACTTTATACAATAACCTGTGTGCACCTTTGTAAGAAAGCAGAACAAAAATGTATCTATTACATCTACACTGGAATCAGAATACAGAGGTAGTGCAGAGTAGATTTTTGTTGTTGGAAATAGTCAATAGTCATGTCAATATATTTTTGCACTATTTAGTTGTGCATATTTTCCAGTATAACGTTACAATGGTCTGTTTGAAAACTTCAGCGGTCAAGTAAAAGTTGAAAATCAGCAGGGAAGACTTATGTTAGTTGTGGATGCAGCCGTGACGCAGTACAAGGATCAAAAATCTAAGTGTGTCTTCATAAATCAATTATCACAAAAAAATAAAAATGATGTCTGTTTGAAGTTACAATAAGGTAAAATTAGATGTAAATTTTATCTTGGGGTTAATAAACAACTTTTTAGGTTACAGTTTTGCTAGCGTATCCAACAAGTAAGGAGTGAGCCGATGAGCCGATGACAATCATAGGTGTAAAATACCAAGGTTTTAGGGAGTCTCATTTCCCCATAAACAACCAGTGCAATCTTGATCAATTTAAAAAATCTAATCCTGATTAAACTGTAATTCAGCTGCCACACTATAAATGTGTTCAGACATTTTCATCTTTCCCTTTTATAATTCAATAATCAGTTCAACAAAGCACAAAATATAAAATGCACTTAAATTCCAGTTCACATATTTTCTCATTTATCCGTTGAAGTAATGCTGACATTTAGTTTTCACTGGGAAGTATTTTCTACCAAAACTGGTTCTCGACAACAACAAAAAAAAACGGTTGCTTTCTGATGCTCTAAACACCACAAACCTGTTTCAATTCAGAGCCGCTGTGTTGGGGTGGCAGCACAAGTTTCAGCGGCACAGATTTCAAAGAGTTTGCAAACAGAACCGAAACTACATACAGGACGAGATACCACTACACATATATGTAAATGTAAAGGTTATGTTTTTTTCCCCTTTTTTATTCAGGTGGACCAAAGTTTTAAAGTCCCATTAAAATTAATAGAAATCACTTTAGTTAGTTTTTCTGTTTGTGTTTACAGAGCTGCACTTCATTTCAACACAAAAGTTCACTCCATTTGGTTTGCGTTGTTTAACCCATAAACTAAATCATTGTGCTCACTCTGTAACTCAATGCAATGAATGTGCTTCTGCATTATTTTTCAAATAAATAAAATAATTGCATTACACACAAGATAAAATAATCTACAACCAGAAATGTATTTTGTAATCTAGTGAGATTTTCTTGTATCAAACAGAAAACCTTTTGTTGTGTAAAGCAAAATGACCTTTTACGACGTGGAGCCGCTGTGAAACATTATCTGCCCTTCAAACACGAAAAAAGACTTTGTTTTAAATCTCATTGGCTTCGTATAAACAATAAAAGATGCCTGCATTTTAAATGTTTTAATAGAATTCAGAGTAGGAGTTAATATCTTACAACACAGCTATTAAAACCTGTACATGTGTAACCAGTGATTGAGCTACTTCACTTCGGTAAAAGTATAAATTTGGACTAAAAATCCTGCATTCACAATATTCCGTCAAAATTTAAAAAGTACATTAATATTACCAGCAAAATTTAACTTAACTATCAAATTTATAAAAGTCCCATGATGCAGCAGAAAGACCCCTGTCAGAGTGACAGTTTATTTTAACACATAATATTGTATTATTGGAGTTTTATTACTAATGCAGCTGGTTGGGCAATATAGCAAAATATACTGTATCAAACACTGAAAATATGTCAGCTGTCAGAGATTTTGCCATGTGGTTTATACAGTATGACATTTGTTGTTGTTTTTGTTTTGTGTGTGTGTGTGTGTGTGTGTGTGTGTGTGTAACGTAAACTTAGTAGTGAGTGAGTTACACGTGAGAATATACAAAGTAAAAAGGGTATAATTCATTTAAGCTTCAGCCTACACCTTTTCGGTCCATATAATCTTGTTTTTCTTTTTTAATTTACGGTAATGCCTTGTTGTTTTTTTATTCTTCATTATGTGCGTTCCTGTTGGATAATTGTGAACAAGGTATCTATGCGTTTCATATAATCATAGTATTATATGCATTTTATTTTAGAAACTAATCAGGTTGTGTAAGTCAAATCTGTATCTGAAAAGTAGTCATATAATAATAACGCTAACTTTATTTGTAGAGCACTTCTCAAGCTGAAAGCACAAAGTGAAGAAAATACAAAACAAAAATGATACATAAGCGTATACATACACCCACACCAACATATACACTTGGTAAATGGACCTGCACTTGCAGAGTGCCCTTCTAGTCATCTGACCACTCAACTACGAGTCACATTCACCCATTCACGCACAAATTCGTACACTGGTGGCCGAGGCTACAAGGTACATACAAGGTGCCACTGATCTTCCGATTAGGGGACGACCCGATCTAGCTTCTGAGCCACAGCCACCCCCACACTTGATCACATATATACTTGTAAGCATGCACACATAAACACATGGCTGCAAATACACAAACTTCCATACACACAATAAGCCTATCAACTGTCAGGAAAGGCCACTCTGTGAAAGTAAGTTTTCAGGCGAGATTTAAAGACGTGAACAGAGTCAGCTGATCTGATGCTCAGTGGGAGGCTGTTACAAAGCCGAGGAGCAGAAACTGAAAAGGCTCCATCGCCCTTTGTCTTTAACCTGGACTCTGGAACAGTTAGAAAACTCAGACTAGCAGACCTGAGGGGCCTGTTTGGACAGTACGTTGTGAGAGCCTATAGCTGTAACTGGAATCGTTCCCTCAGGGGAGGAGGGAGTAGAGGTATAAAGTACATATGAAAACACTCAAGTTATAGTAGTTTAAATTGTACTTCAGTACAGAATTTCCATACATTCCTCACTGGAGCGTAGGCTAGTGCCGCCATATCCCACCCCCCATCTCCAGGAGCCCCTGACCGACCAGGAGGAGACGGACACTCACAGGAGAATTTATTGGATGTTTTGTGTTATTGTTGTTTGTTTTCAAGTTTGTTTATTTACATACTGTATGTGTACGTGTGTGTGTGACACTTCATAAGCACTTCTGCTGATTTATAAAGTAAAAATATATGAAATATTTTACTGTAATTTATACAGATGACATTGTGATAGTCATACTAGCATAATTTTATATTTATATACATTTGTTTATATGTTTTGTCACTATGTTTTTAGGTTAGTTTCATTTTAGTTTTATATTCTGCTTATGCGTTTTCATTATCATATATTTTTACATTAATATTATTATTTTCTTTATTTAAGTAAAAGGTACAATCAGTAAGATATTGATTTAAACCAAAAACAAGAGAAGTTTTCAGCGAAGAAACAATGACATGATGCCTCAGCAGCTCCCCATCCAAGAAAACTGACGTTGTTGTTTTTGGAGTGCACGGCCGAGCTGGTGTGACATTCAGGTTTCTGCACCACCTGAGCTACACCTGTAGCTATGCCCTTAATAAATATATAAAACTAAATACAAAATAATCTCCCTTAGTTACATAGTTTTTTGTTGTACAGTAAATGTGTGTTGTCTGTTCCATACTGTACAGTCTATTCAAGTAGTGTTTTTCCATCATACCCCCAAAAACAAACTTCACCAAAATAATCAGGTGAAGTGTTGTTGCAAAATTTCTAATATTCCTAGTTTTACTAGTTTTCGTCACATCAATTTCTCCAATTATGCTGATGACTTGATTTGACTACTTGGGTGTGGTGGGTAAAGTCCCCATCTGCCAGGCTCAGGTCTGAAGTTTAATTTCCATCAGTGACATCGTAGTTGTGCATTCCAACAAACACATCTGTCACAAAGTTAAAACTTCCTGGATATCACATCTGTATATCTCTTATTGTCTCGCAAGCCTGTATTAGGGTCTCAATTCATGGTGAAAAATCAAGGAAGTCAATTCTAATGCTTTATAAGCCCATTTAAATTATTAACAATAGTAATCGTTATTTAGATCACTTTTCAAAATCCACGTTTCACAGGGAAATAACACAGTCGAGTTATCGGCTCCGATAAAAGTATGTTTTACTTTTTGTTTTACTTCATCTGATTTTAACGCCTCGAAAGAATGATAGACTTTCTTTATCTAAGTTCTGTTAGTGTTACATGGTATCTTTAATGATTCTGTTCTCACAAGTGTTGAACCACCCATGTTTTTTTTTGTCTGTCATAACTGTCATAACGCCGTCACAGTGAGTCAATAATGCCTTCAGTGCCGCACTGGTATCAGAACTACAAAGGGCCTGGTGTTCAGATAGAAACACAGTAGGAAGCATGTTAAAATAACACGGCTGCGTTGGTGAGATGATGGTGTTTCAGGTAACGAAGATGATCCAGGGCTGCCAGTTTGAGTATGATTGCAGGTCCTTGAGTTTGAGGTATCTAATGCTAAACGATCCACAAAGGTTTATAATACTATGGACAGAATTTTACATCTGCGGAGAGTTCTTATGTTGACAATGACTTTATCCTCCATGATCGTCTGGCTGGAGCCGTGGCGTTCACCTTACAAAGTAAACTAGCTAAAAGGTGTGTTGGCAAGCATTTGATGCGGTGATTCAATGCATGCATACAAATGAGTTATTCATGCTCTCAGCACTGTTTACAGTTTAGCGGGTTGATTGACCCTTTTCACAGCAGGCAAATCACAGGTGTAAATAACTTAAACTGTGACTTTGTTGCATTCTGGTAAGTGAGCAAATAAACCCACTTACCAGAGGAAAATGTTGGCATTACATTTGTGCATTTCATACGTGTCGTATCAGTGTTTCTAAAGTAACGTAGTATATGAGCTCACTTTGTCACCAGGCAATGGAGGGGATGGTGGATGCCGTGAAAACTGCTTTTACAGCAGCTTTTTAGGCACCAAACGGATGTGTTAAAAAACTCGTAACTGTTTTATAAGCGGCGTTTAGGGCCGCCGAACATGGGTGTTTTTAGTGACCCATCAATGTCTTACAAGCGGCTTTTTAGGGCACCAACTTTAGAATTTTTGCGACCCGTCGCTGTTTTACAAGTGGCTTGTTGGCATCAAACGTGGGTGTTTTTTTCGGCGACGCATCGCTATTGTCCAGTGGCTTTTAAGGCACCAAATGCGGGTGTGTTTTAGCGACACATCACTGTTATACACGTGGCTTTTTAGGCACAAAGGTGGTTAATTTTTAAAGATCTGTTGCTGTTTTTCCAGTGGCTTTTTTGGCACCAAACATGAGTGTTTTTAGCATCCCATCACTGTTTTTTCAGCAGCTTTTTTGGCACCAAATATGAGTGTTATTAGCATCCCATCACTGTTTTTTCAACAGCTTTTTGGCACCAAACATAGATGTTTTTTAGTGACCCGTCAATGTTTTACAAGCGGCTTTTTAGGCATCAAACTTGGGTGGTTTTTCGGTGAGACATCAATATTTTACAAGCAGCTTTTTAGGGCACGAAACGTGGGTATTTTTTAGCGACCGGTCACTAAAAGGCGTCTCTTCAGCACCGAAAGTAGATGTTTTTTTTAGTGGCCCATGGCTGCTTTCCAGCAGTATTTCAGGCACCAAACACAGGTGTTCTTTAGTGACCCATCACTGTTTTACATGCAGCTTTTTATGCACCAAAGGTGGACTTGTTGCTTTTTATAGTGCCACAAAAAGCAATTGGTTTTTAATGAGACATCGCTGCATTTCCTGACAAGATAATAACATGAAAAGCTTGTATTTTAAACCAGAACATGATCGTTTCCTAACCATAACTAAGTGTTTTTTGTGCCTAAACCTTAATTACAGCATCGTTGAAATGGATCAGCTACATAATAATGTACAAATGTAATGTGTCCGTGGTTTAAAGAAATGCACAATGCCACCCTTTTGTTTTTCTGGCGATCGGGTTGAGCAGGTCGTGTCAGTGAACCATACACAATACCAAGTCGTTGGTACAAGACCTCAGTAAAATTCGGCCATAATCAGCACCATCAGTTTCATCTGATGACTGACAAATCCAAATAACTGCTGTCAGAAAGGTCTACTCCCTTTGGTAGAATGTAGAATTTATGTTGGAGGACGACCTGCAGATTGAGGTGTTTGAACCAGGCTGCGAGGCCTCCGACAATCAAAGGTGGAACTAAATTCAACACCAAAGAGACAGAAATTCAGGACAGCATTTAAAAACAAAAACTCATTGTGTCCGTACAACACGAGCTTAGTTTTAGATATCTTTGAAAGAAGTGGAAGAGATAGTTTTAGAGGATACTACGGTGCTATTATTAGCATATACCAGTGTACGTTGACATTTAAAGTAAAAAGCAGAACATGTTTCTCAACTTAACCTATGATAACATGTCACACACTGAACTAATTTGTCAAACAACTCTGTTTTTATTCGGGTTTTTAAAGTTAACAACAGACTTCACCTTCCCAAGTTGTTGCTATAAGCACTATATTTCCATGACCGAGTGCTACAGTATGTGAACTAAGGTTGTACTATATTTAGATGTAGCCCAACACTTCAGGTGATTTTACAGCCTAAAAGGACATGTCAGCTGAACTGAGAGCCACAAGAGAGAACATTCTACCACATAATCAACTCTAAAGTCAACTCGAGCTAGCAGCCCTCAGGCTAGCATTAGCCAAGTGTTGGCACCCATAACTAGACACAGAAGCAGCAGAAGCTGGTCACCAGACGACACAAGGTAAAGCTGCTGTCGAGACATTTTGACAATCTGAGAAAGATCTTGGTCCAAAATTGGAAGGTCTTCATGTAGAAATGGTCACACGTTATACACATTAAATATTGTTTTTCCTCATATTTGTCTCAGTTGTTGGATTTTCTTGCATATTATGCTAAACTTTTTGTCATCTTGGTAGCCCAATGTTGTAAACTTTAATATTGTATGACTTTTCAGTTCAGTTCAGGCCTGGGAATGTCCCAGTATCTCAGCGGCTAACTTTAAGGCTAAAGGCTGACATTATAACAAAGCAGTTTATTTTCCGGCTTCAACATTTTGTATTGCCCCAAAAATAAGATACACTTACCAGCAGTCAGGAGTAAAAGACTTGAGAAGGTCAAAACAGTCCTGAGATCCATGACAGTAACAATGAGCAACAGGTAGCAGGAAGAGGACAGACAGACAGACAGACAGGAGGAGATCAGACTGAACAAATCAGATCAAGATGCTGTCAACAGAAAAACAGATGAGAAAGGAAACAGTGCAGAGGTGTAAAACTCCTCTGTCTCTCTCTCTCTCTCTCTCTCCATACAGTGAATCACTTCATCCCCGGCCTGCTGCTGCTGCTGCTTGTGCAAAGTGCAGATTTCCTCCCTTCAAAGCGAGCTCGCGGAAGAGGCAGAGAGGGGTGGGGAAAATAAGAAATGATGATAAGAAAGGGGGAAGGAGGAAGATGTAGGAGGAAGAGGTGAAGGGAAGAGTTACGTGACTCGCAAGTAAATTTACTTTTTTTTCAACATGATTGTGAGTCACATGTCTCTGCTAGTCAACAGAGTACAGACGTACATCAATGTTTCCTCAGGGAAGGCCGAGGAATGAACTGCAACGTGTACGATGGACTCAACAACTTTATAATAATAATAATAATAATAATATAACTTTATTTTATTTAATTTTAGTTCATTTTATTATATTTTATGTTTTGCAATTTGATAGGGACGATGCAATTTAACAAAGTTCTAATGCAGAGTATGGGACTGATGTGTTGCACAGAGAGTTTAAAGCTAGCTTCAACTCTTGTCTACAGTTTGAAACATCATACAACCACAATACACTATAAACAACTAACTAAACTACACCTAACTAACTTCTTTTACTTCCTACATGTTAAAGAAACACCACTTTAGTGCTCCATGTCCAGCTCAGTCATCAGAAGAAAATGTTGGCATTGTACGTTTCTGCAAACCACAAATACGTTACATTTGTACCTTTCATATGTACCATATCAATGTTTCTACACTGAGTGTATTAGGTGATTTGTCATCTGGAGGTGGAGGGGATGGAGGATGGCGTGACACAAGACGCCTGCCAAGCTGCAGGTGACTGTTTGAGACCAACAAACAAAGGAAGTGATTGTGATTCAGTGAGTCATTGCTGTGTTTCCAACAACTTCTTAGGCACCAAATGTGGGTGTTTTGTCGTTGTTTTCATGCGTTTTCCATCAAATGCACAAAAAATTGTACATGTCCCACATTATCACGAGCCAGTAATTTGTGTATAACCGAAAGAAGGAAGCAACGCCTGTAAAGACGCAGGTTGGGATGGTGGATAGGTTACAAATCATAGCACCCTCCAGGAGGTGGTGTTTGGTAACTGTGTGAACTTTGAGTCATTTTAAGGTACATTGTCAACATGTTTCTTTTCTTAAACCTAACCACAATGACTTCACTTGCCTAAACCTAATCATCATAACTTAACATCAAGGACGTAACATCATTCATGGGGCACTAATTCAGAGGATATTGTATAAACGGTTGAGGACACATTGTTTGTTGTAACTTTTTGCTTTGTTTCCAGTATTTTCAGCAGGGATAGCACCATGATAAGTGATAATTGTTTTTTTTTTGCCAAGGCATCGCTGCTTTTTTCAGCAGGGATTGTACCCCTAAACTAGTATTTAAGCCAAAACATGATCTTCTCCAAACCATAACCAAGTGGTCTTTGTTCCTTTTTGAAACATAAATGAATGTTAAGTTTCCTCTCCTCCAGTACATAATAACATGTAAATGTAATGAATGCATGGCTTGCAGAAATGTACAACATTTTTTCTGGTGATTGGGTTAACTGGTCCTAATATTGTCTATTCACATTTTTTGCAGTCCCAGACAATATTTCATTCTTGCAATAACTGGAATATAGTTTGGTTATGAATACATCCAACTGAAGCTGAGGGTTCTGTGTAAGTGTTACAATATAAACTGGGATTCAAAATAGCAAATCCAGAGGTTCCCACATTTGCATTCAGGGGTACACCATCAAACTACTGCAACCACTACTACTGAGAAAAGTCTTTTGTCCTAGACTTTGGGTGTAAAGATGATGTTAAAGACAGGATGTTTTGTACAGCGAGAGAAGAGATCTGTGAGTGCATATCATTCAGTTTTCGTCTTTGATTCCCCCTTAAGTAGCTTTAAAGTGAGCTTATGTAACTTTTGCTGAAAGGTGGACACTAGCCTTCAATATTAATGTTAAATTGTCGCTAAACTGTAGTTAAAGTAGGACTCAGTCATGTCAGTTATGCAGCAGTATAGTGCAGTGTAAGCTTTGCTAGCATTAGCTAACATTAGTCACCATGAGCTATAGTTGGGTTCATACCAGAGCAATTAACGTTGTATCAGTAAACCCCTGGATGTATTGAATAAAGCAAGAGTGGGATTTGTTGTGTATAAATTCAACTTTTGATTTGTAAGAGGAAGACTGTTTTATTCCCTCTTCAAAACTTCAGGTTGGAACCTTATTCCCCACTGATCATATTTATGGGGAAATGTGCATTTAAAAACCTTTTTGTTTCAGCTCTTCATTTAAATTAGTGAAATAATTTTCTTCAAACAGGAGACCCCGTGTTTCACTTGAGAATATATTCAACGGATACTTCTGCATAATTTCTGAAACATTTTCTTCAAATCCAGCTGACGTATGACACACTGTTGCATGTGTTTGAACAGTGTTTATCTGCACTCAGTTTCTAATGACCGGACCAGCGGCAGGCTGCGGCAGGAGTTCAGCCGATGATGCTGAAATTAATAAAATGGTCTGATCTCACTGTAGTTATGTTTTACAGATTTAGGACTTACCTCACCACATGTGGTGTTTTATTGTACTCAATTCTTTTTTCTTTTTTTAATAGATCCAAGGATTATTAAAGGAGTCAGTCATTAAGCTAGTTTTGAACTTTTAATTTTTAGTCTAATACTGAAAAACTGTAACCAACAAATAATAATAAACTAATTAAACATAAACATTAAACATAATAAATACTATGACTTAAGTTTAGTTTAGTTACTTCAGATTTATGTTATCATAATTGAGATAGCACAAAAACATCCTTGTTCAAATTATGTTTTTGTAATGTATTTTTAATTAATTTTTTAGATAAATTCTGCATCTTTTGTGCAAATTTTACTGTGGGTCACGGCATAAAATGTCATTTTACTTCAAAACCATTTAGAAAAAACTCCTGCACACTGTCTGACTTGCAAAACTAATGACCTTAATGCTGCAACATTTCAGTGACTAGACCTTCATCAGGCATCAACAGATTTGTAACAAAGAGAAACCATCTTCAGCAGGAGTGCTCCTTCTTAAGACGGGACTTTTTTTTCTACAAGTTGTTTCTACAGATCTGCTCGTCCCTCTCCTACGCACCTGTTTGAAATAGATGTGCGACGTATTCCTTTGTTCTTACTTCAAAATTGTAAATACCTTGAATTAGACCAGTAACTGCTTGTGTCCCACAGACACAAAAACTCAGCAGGGAGAAAAACCAGAGAAATCGACATTTTACAACAAGAAATTAAAGACAATAAGGGAGAAAATAAAATACTTTTAGTGATGTTTACAACACTGTACTGACACCTGACAAAACTGTGATGGGAAAAGAATAGGATAGCCGTTGAATATAAAAATTAGATATTGATATCTTGTTAAGAATACACATATGATAACTCTATATACAGACTCTATATACAGATTCTGATAGACTCTCTCTCCACCTCTCTACACTCAGTTGTAGGCTGCAAGTCATTTGCCAGAAAAAAAAGACAAAATGCACAATAAACAAAGTTAAAGATCAATTTGACGGATAGCATAATCCTTCCCCCACAAATTTAGAAATAGATATTACAACAATATTGTTATAATGATCTCACTATATATTTAATACAATAATAATTCTTAGTAATGTGAGTGTACACGGCCGCAGCAAGTCTAGTAGAAACTAATATCTTGTGTTGGTACAGTGCTTCATTTGAATTCTGTATGTTAATAACACTTTTATTTATTAAAATTGCACCTGTATAAGTGGTTAATGAGTGTCTACATGACCCCTGTTAAACTTCATCATATTTCCCCTAACATTCCAGATATTTGTGTTCAGTGTTTGAATGAGAAGGGAACTTTTTTTCATTGTTTATAGGAGTGCCTGAATATACAGATATTTTGGGAAAATGTAGTTAATTGTTTATCTCGGATGGTTAAAAAGAGCATTTTTTTTCCAGGCCTAAGACATGTATACTCAGAAAATACCCCAGTGACTTTGTTAGAACAACAAATCAAACAAAAATGATTGAATTTGGACTTGTCCACGCAAGAAGAATGATTGTGTTATGTTGGAAAAATGTAGAACCACCATCACTTCAAATGCGGAAAAAAGAGTTGTTGACATGTCTTGGGCTGGAGAGGCTGACATATATTGTCAAAGGTAACTGGGGCGTCGGTGGCTTAGTGGTAGAGCAGGCGCCCCATGTACACGGCTGTTGCCGTAGCGGCCCGGGTTCGAGTCCAGCCTGTGGCCCTTTGCTGCATGTCATCCCCTCTCTCTCTCCCCCTTTCACACTTAACTGTCCTGTCCATTAAAGGCAAAAAAAAAGGTAACTAAAGGATTCATTTATGTCGTTCTTGGAAAATGAAACTTTACTTTGGTCTGTTTTATTTTACTTGATTGTTTTGGTATTTGTTATATAATTTTATGTTCTATTTATTTGCTTATTTCATATTATTCACAACAACCATTTTATATTCTATTATCATTATTATTGTTATTGTTATTATTATCACTTTTATTGCTGGTCTGTGTGTATGTGTGACTGTATGAGGGGATATATATGTTTTTGTGTGCTTTGATATATACTTGAAATTTCAATAAATACATTGTTTGGTGTGTGGAAATCTTTTTTTGTACCAATAAATAAACTTTTTGAAAGCACAAACACACACACTTTTATTTAAATATAGGTATGAATGGGTATGAACAGTATATAATACACAGGTGAGTTTATTACTAGTTTACAGTTTAGGTACATTCTGAGAAGTTTATGTACAAATTAAAAGAATGACACATTAATATATAGCAATAAAACATGTACACAAATATAAAACAGAGTAACACCAGTAAGAACAATTACATACGTAAAAAAGATTATAAAATACTAAAATACTAAAACCAC